GGTTCCAGGGAAGTACGATCTGCTGAAAATGGATTACGCCGAGGATGAACCCGACGCCAAGAAACTCAAAACCGAGGCCGAAAAGAAGAAAAAGAAGGAAGTAAGTGGCCTCTTTAGTCTTTTTACCTTGTATAGCTCTGTGTAAAAAAAGAATTTCTTTAAATAAGAATTACTTAGTTGACAAACTTAAAACTTGACCAGCTATCGAATGAGTCACAATTAAGGAATTAACAATGAACTAGTCGCAAAAATAAAATATATAACCTCGTGTGACGCCAGCCCACCGTGCATCCCCTCATCAGTAAATAATACTGTGGCGGCATATGGCGGTGACTTCAGTGGCAGAGACGTCTGACAAATTTATAGCTTCGAAAAGTCTGCGAGTGTTCCGGTTCATTCAATTGTATCGCGTTACTAGGCGTTACTTATGCATCTTTGTGAATCGTCTGCGCTTCAATTTGCTTATAATCCTGATTACAGTTAATGATTCTTGCCTTTAAATTAGCTCTATTAACTGGTATTAACCTGAAAATGTAATGTTTTTTTTAGATCGCTCCGTGCTCGCTGGAGAAGAAGGTGCAGGACCTGATCGAGCTGATCTGCAACGTCAAGGCCATGGAGGAGGCCGTGATGGAGATGCAGTATGACGCCAAGAAGGCGCCGCTGGGTGAGAATTCGTGCGCCGCAGAACTCTTCGACTCCAGTGTATGATGAGGTCGTGTGTTCGCAGTTGGTGTAGGAGTTGGCTTGGACATCAGATTTTTATGAAAAGGTTCAGTGGCAGGCCAGCAGGCATAAGCGTACCGTCAATTTGTCCAATCAGACCTTTTTCACCAACTGAAGGAATCCTACCAGTGAATTTTCGAATGATGCCGCTGGTTGTGACGCGTCCTTTCCGTGTTTTCCCCGGCCGCTGTCTTACTCTATCTCTGATTCCCTATCCACCCCAGGGAAGCTGACTGAGGATCAGATCAAGGCTGGGTACGAGGCGCTCAAAGAGATCGACGAACTCATCAAGGCCAACAAGACGGGCAGGGAGCTGGTGGACGCCTGCAGCGCCTTCTACACGCGCATCCCACACTGCTTCGGGTGAGCAGTCGGCACAGGATGTCTCAGAGGAGGGGTGCATAGGCACTCGTTGCTCGAAATCTCTAGTTTTTGATCGTTTTCATACGCACAGCATGGTCCCTCACGTACTCTGTCGACATGCGCTCCTCGATAACACCCAGGGCCGCGTTGTTTTACTCTCGATCTTCATAACCAACCATAGACCACTATATATTTATGTGTGGCTTATGTGGTCTATGTCATTGCCTATGCCTATTTCTTAACTAAAACTCTGACGCCACCAGCTCCGCCGTGTGCCGTCGAACAGGATGCGTCCTCCGACCATCATCCGCACTGCGCACGAGGTGAAGCTGAAGCTGGAGCTGCTGGAGGCGCTGGGAGACATCCAGACGGCGCTGAAGCTGATCGGGGAGGAGGAGGAGTCGGGTGACGGCAAGGCGCGCCACCCGGCTGACTCTCAGTACCACGCGCTCAATGTGGATATCAAACACCTGTCGCCCAGCGATCAGGTGTACAAGGTGCGTACCGGGTGGGGTACAAGGTGTACAAGGTTCCGGATGGGGTATAAGGACAGACATGTACAAGGTGCGTGTCGGGTTTGGCACAAGGTGCGTACAAGAAAAGTTGTGATAGGAATAGTTACGGAGCGAGCGAAGCGAGCGGAGTCTTACGTAGAATAACGGAAATTTCTGAGTATGAGCGGCCGGCCGGCCGGCCGGGCGGCCGGCCGTGCGGACGCTTTTGCGAGGCTTATATCTCAGCAACCACTTGACCGATTTACATGCGGTAATTTTTGTAGGGTAGCTTCATTCCTTCTACCAAGTATTGGACTATTCCCGATGCATGTGGGTGACCCCTTATGCACGTGCCACGTGCAAAACGAAGAGGTGTCAGTTTTGTAATTGTTGCAATATCTCGGTAACTACTTGGCCGATTGCGCTGAAAGTTGGTATGTAGGTAGGCACCCACTAGGCACTGCATATCCATGTGCCAGAGTTGGGGTGCTGCTGCACGTGCGCACGTGCAGGGGTCGTTTCCAGATCTCGAGAACGGCTGGACCGATGGCGCTCAAAGTTGGTACACAGTTAGGGACCAGTTAGTAGGGTGCCGTGTACAAGTCAGTTGGGACCCATTTTGCACGTGCGCACGTGCAGGGTGCCGCTCCCAGATCTCGAGAACGGCTGGGCCGATTGTGCTCAAATTTGGCACATCGCTAGAAACCGGTCAGTAGGGTGCCGTGCACAAGTCAGTTGGAGGTACCCCCTCGAAATTTCGCACGTGCAAGACTCACCCCCTCGCTCGCTCCGTTAGTCGCCCCAAAAGGCGCTATACTGGTATTAGTGTCTTAAGTTATAGTGCACTGTAATTCCAGCTGCAACTACGGCTATGACGCACAGGCTGAGGACTGTGCGTTGCGTGGGGAGGGGCTCGCTAGGTCAACTTCCTCCCCTCGCCTTCCACCACCAGGAAGGTTATGTGAAAGCACACTACCTAACATGGCTTTGAGATGTTTTCATTTTTCTGTCAAATGAGGCATTGTCCTACCTCGCAAACTGGGTTTACGTACGACTCCTGCGCCATTTCCATCGTTGATCCTTGATTCACGAACTCCGATTTCTTCCTGGCCAGACGCTGGAGAAGTACCTGGAGACCACTCACGGTCACACGCACATGGGCTACGGCCTGAAGCTGCTGGACGCCTTCTCCGTCACCAAACGCTCAGAGGAGGAGCGCTTCGTCGACCACGGCAACCGCATGCTGCTGTGGCACGGCAGCCGGCTCACCAACTGGGCCGGCATCTTCGGCGCCGGACTGAAGATCGCCCCGCCCGAGGCGCCCTGCACCGGATACATGGTAAATAGGGGCGGAGGGGGGGGGGGCGTGATCCGTGAGGTGGCGTGGGTATGGCGCTTTGGCGAAATACGTGAATATATGCCTCATTTCGTTTCACTCACTCATTGATTTCTAATCGGTTTATATGAAATGCTGATATTGAATGGAAATGATTTTACTTCTTTCGGTGATTGTTCTTGGAAGCACAATAATATATAAGTCGTGGAAAGTACCGCCCATCTGGCCTTTACGCGCTCTTATGTGGGTATTTATTCCGCGAGCTGACCGTGGGTATCACATTCCTCGTTTTCAGTTCGGCAAGGGTATCTACTTTGCCGACATGGCCAGCAAGTCTGCCAACTATTGCTGCGCGTCGCGCTCCAAGAACGAGGGTATCCTACTGCTCTGCGAGGTCTCGCTGGGCAAGGTGGGTGTCTCTTTCTCTCTTCTCTTTCTTGGGGTGAGTATCTCTTTCTTTGGATGAGTGTCTCTTCTGTCTTCCACCGTGACACTTCCATGTGAGACTGTCTCTCACGATGGGTGTGACTGCTGTGACTGGGTGATCAAACAGGGCGAGACGGAGTGAAGGCACTAGTGTGGATCTAGGTTTTCCGTGTTGTTTTTGTTCGATTGGATGAACGGGTAATGCTGCATTTTCTTCTCTTTTTTTTGTATGGAGAGTGAATCGCAGACGTTAGAAGAATGATCAATGAATCTCACCAGTTTCGGCCTTACATATAAGGCGTTTCTTTTTCTTTTATTAGCCGTGGTGCACTTATTCTCTCAGAACGAATGAAATTATATTTCTCAGTTGCGCTCCCTTGCCGAAATCATCTATCGTCATCACGTTTCTGCATTGGTGCTTTACCCAAAAAAACTCGTTTGTCTCATTTTTTACTTTATGATTCAGCAGCTGCCCATTATCTAAGCGACGTTTTCTCCCATTCCACAGCCGAACCAGTTGTACAACGCTAACTACAACGCTGACAAGCTGCCCAAGGGGAAACACTGCACCAAGGGCATGGGCACGGTGGCCCCGCCCACTACTAACTACGTCACACTGTGAGTGGCACGCGATTGGTCGGAGGTCGAGATTGACAGTAGGCCTGACAGCGACAAGTGTCCTGCTTGATAAGAACTGATTCGATTTCCTGTTGCTCTGTCTATTTTGAGTTTTGGTTTTGGGGTTAGGAGTATATTGTGTCATTGCTATGTAACTGCTGCATTTCATTACGTGAGGAAATATAAGGACTGTCCCAGAGCCTTGTAAGCGCGCACCCTTGGTATTTTTCTTCAGCAGTGGACAGTACTGTCCTAGACAGCACGTTATTCCTCAGTCTTAACAGTCACTGTTACCGTGGTCTTATGTGAAATTAATTCCAGCTGCATTCTCACCCTGTTTTCTTCCGTTTCGACAGTGACGACGGGGTGGTCGTGCCGATGGGGCCGGCGAAGGACACCCCCGACAAGAACAAGGCCTGTCTGATGTACAACGAGTACATCGTTTACGACGTGGCCCAGGTGCGCATGCGCTACGCCCTGCGCGTCAAGTTCGCCTTCAAGTGAGGCGGTCGGGTTGAGCAAGCGGCGGTCGGTTGGTGGGTCGACCGACGGGTGAACGGGCCACCCAGTGATCTGTACGTACCGGTACCTGTGCGTGAGTACCCGTGGCCAGAGAGCATTTGGGTAGTGCAGTCACGGGTCGCTCTCAGTCGCCACAGCAACGCCGGGGAGGAAGCGTGGCTGTACATCGGCCGAGATAGTCACATTTCCAGGGAGTGCCGAGCTCATTTCATCGCGCGGAGTTGGCGTCGTTTTACCGAGTTTTGTTGGCGCAGCTGTGAGTTGTTTGTGATCTGTAGGCACTGTGTGGTGCCGCCATGCTTAGTTAGTCATGTGCCTAGAACGTGTCATTATATCTGTGATTCACCTGCCTTTGCGCCAGCCTGTTCAGTGCGCGCTACAATTCGCTTCGGGTGTGGCATTGTTTCTGTGTGGTTAGGATAGTATTACCGTTCCTTTCTCCACTCGCCGTTTTGTTTGTGGTTGATAAAGCCGCTTTTCTCAGGCTGTTGTGGATCAATCTTAAACGATAGAAGTTCGTTGCCCATACATGTACTCTTATTCACACCTGAGGCTCTGATTTCAATTACATTTCCGAACCATCGATGTCGTATTAACAAAAAAGTGAAAGTTCGCTCCGGGCCAACTAACAGTCCTCGCCGTTCACAAATTAACCTGACATGATGAAAAGCACGACTACCATACAACTTAGCGATTCTCTGTATACAGACACATATATACCATTTTAAATATAACAAGCGGCTCGGACACTTCCGTGGCACGCGCATCACGTACCACAACGTAATAACTTTATGATGGAAAAGCTGGCGTGGAAGAACTTAGGGCCTCGGGCCTGTCATACCTCAGTACTTTATACCAGGTCCCCGCGGTACACACCAACAAAACCATTACCATTTGCGGCGGACGAATTAGGTACCTATATCATCTCATGTTTTGTCGTGTCATCATCACACTGGAAGCTCCCTGGACGTATTCAGCGCCACAGAACCACTTTCTACACTTTCTCACCAGCCAGGTATCGCACCGTCGCCCGTGGGTTATCGCCCGTGCCCCTCCTGTGTGTATACCCCTCCCCCCTGACCTGTCCATGACCGCTGGGTACAGAACATATCCGCTATATCGTATCTGTCCCTCTCAGGGCGGCGGCAACCCGAGCGACTTACGCACCAGCCGCTGGGCGATCTTCTGAAACTGTTCGCGGTCTTGGCGCCACATTTTGGCGGCGTCCACGTTCGCGCCACTCTCGTCGTTTGGCTCTGTAGGACACAGGCCGGGAGTCGTTATAGTGGAGGTCATTGGCACATCGTGACTGTTGACGTGCCAACGAACAAATAGTAGTTAAAGTCGCAAAACGACATCAAACAATGACAGAACGTGAGCTAGAAGCACACACGAATGACGCATTTGCCGGTATCGCCATTTTTACTACAAGCGTGCACGGATGGCTTTACATCAATCGGTTTCGTTTTGCCGTTTTGCCGCTCCCGCGATGTCTTCTGTTCAATCACCACCCACTGGCCGCTCAGTGCTCACCTGCCAGCATGCTGACCACCGAGAGCAGGATCTTCTCGACGCTCTGCACGGGGCTCCAGCGCTCTGCCGAGGTCTCGTAGCCCATTGGGTCGTCGCCCGGCGCGTGCAGGATTGAGATGCACACACGGCCGTCGGCGTAAACTGGCGCGGAGGGGTTGTGAGTCAGGAAACGGGTGGCGAATGGTTTGATAAATGAGCTTGTGACTTGCTTCACCAAATTTATGGTATCTGGCACACATATATTATTAACATATGGCTGTCAAATGTGTTGGCTTTATGTTTGGCAGATGTAATGACATTGTGACCTGAAGATTTAGAACATAATATTCATGAATCAAGGAAGCAAAAGCCTTACTGTTGGGATGAAACATTTCACAGCAGAATTGCATCTTGGGTGGGTTCAGTGGGTAGTCTGGTGGAAAGGTCAGCTTTGCCGTGAACACTCCTCCATCAAAGCAGGTCCCCTCAGGTCCTCTGAAACACAGTGAACATGAAAAAAAAACATTCAACATAATTAAGGCAAGTGAAAAATATGACCCCTGCCCTGCAATTCATCTTTAAAATTGGAGATTATTAAACGTAACTAAGCAGCAAGCAACCACTCAACTACATGACTTGATAAATTACTTTCAAGGAAAAATTGAACACAACTACCACTTGACCATCAGTTTGAGTAAAATGAAATGATCCTGATCATTACTTACGTAATGAGTGCCTCCCACTCAAAAAAGTTTTCTTCATTGATGGGCCCAGCCAATATTCCCTCGGGTGGATTCAGGGTAAGCTCTGCAAAAGAAAGCTCATTCAGTTGCTTGTTTGTCAATTGCCATTGGTGCTCATCCTATGGTGACCCACAATATTCATACATATATTTTAACCAGTGTAAAATGTGAAAATTAATCTCATTAAGCCTGTTTGTTTTCCCATTTAACGTGAAAAACAAAAACTTACGTTTGTACTCCGCCATCAGACGTTTGAGTGCATTGCCAGCCATAGCTAATGAATTAAAGCTGCACCCAGAACCATATAACTTTTCCCGAAGTTTTCCGCCCTAGTACAGTTTCAGCCTCTTATACGGCCTTGGTTTCAGCCAACAGAAAAATTGCGAAAAAATCAAACACAGTACAGTCGCCCGTGTACGTGTTGTGTGTGTGTTGCGTTGTTTGAGTTCAGTGGTTGTTATGCTGATGCTGCATGTAATCTCAAAAAGGTAGAACTCACAAAATTCTGACGTCAAAAAAACAAATGATTTGTTATATCTCTTGCCGTGTGCGTTTTGAGAGTTTCTCATCCTGCACTCTTTAAGAACCCAAGAACTTCTTCAATAATGATAGAAATAAAACAACTTTGTAATGAATCATCAAAAGAAAATAATAAAATTGAAAAGAAGTATTTATGCCGGAAAACTAATGACGTAGCAGTTGAATGAGATACTCAGAAAATACACTAATTTGTTTTCGGCGCAGTACAGACGAGCGCTGCGCAGATGTACCGGTGGGAAATTTTTTTTTTTTATGCGCCCTACACCAAAACAACAACAACAACAACGGAAAAATTTTCTTTTTTCATGTATGTCATGTGTGTTTGATGTGTGTGGTTTTGTCGTATAGTCTGTTTCACTCATCGATTTCGAGACATGATAATTACGTGTCTTCCGATCGCTTGTTGTATGATTCCCTACGGCTGGGCTGCCAAACCTGCATCCTCACGCCACAATGAACTGACCTCATGGCTCATTTCGGCTCATTTCCTAGTCCGGCTCGATGTGAGCATCGAATAGACCGTCTAGTACAGCTCACTAATGCTCAACTTCAACAACCTCAACTACGCATTTAGGTATCAATGATTTTGTTGCACGTTAGATATGACGTCAGCAATTTGCACAGCATCAGCATTAGTCCATTTGACTTTGTGACCAGGCGTTCAGTTCATTTCATTCAGTTACCGGAAGCTTAACTTACCTTCTAGTACAATGTTGAATGTTAGCTATAGTGGTACCTACTGGACCTGCCACAAAGGTGTGCTGGTGGGGTATGCCCTGCGGCTGGCCATGCCACCGCAGTGCGTGCTTGCTAGGCTAAAATGGTGAGATCTATTTTAATATTCATGACATGCCATCTGCTTTCAGGAATTAATCATGCAAAGACCAAGTTTTACACTGGTGCTGTCTGGGCTGTTTCTTGCCTACATTCTCCATTCCTTATGGACAATTGCTTCTCTGTTCTTACCTCCAACATGTCATGAGACATCAAAGGATTGCATTCAGTCTCATCTTAGCACCAAACCAAAACTACAGGTAAGGTTATTCAGTTACCCTATTTATCTTATCCAGTTATGGTGCAGTGGTAAAAATGTAGATGAGATAGAATAAAAATGATTTGCTTGAGCAATTTGAGCTGTGTAGGTAAAGTAAATGTAGCCTGGTTCAACATGCAGTGTATAGTTCATAGTTTCCTTATTCAACGAACAACTTATATTTTCTTTGTGTGGAAGCTTACAATGGGATAGTTGTAATGTGTGTGGTAGGGCACCCAGTTCTCTAGACTGGCCTGCCTTTGACCCATGACCATGGTAGCAGCCAACTTTTACCATGGATACTTTTACCTTTAGCTGTATTTTGAGCATTTTCACACATTTTTCACCATCAGTTGTTCCTCACAGCTTTAGAATGCTTTGTGGTTTTGAAACATAACAATAATGTGTTTTCCAGTTTTTGCTGTATCTGTCCAACTCAGCAAACATTCAAAGCCAATCAGAATTGAAGTTCCTTGGAAGATGGAAGGATCTGGATCTCACAGAAGCAAAGGAAGAGTAAGTGCACATGCTTTTACTTCCATGAAAACGTGGAGCTCAATATTGTGAAACCAGAAATGGTGGATCATGTTGGTAAGATGTAAAAAGTTTTGATGCTGGTTTAGTAGCATTCCAGGGAGAAGCAATTGTTCTAAGACCAGTATAGCGCCTTTTGGGGCGACTAACGGAGCGAGCGAGGGGGTGAGTCTTGCACGTGCGAAATTTCGAGAGGGTACCTCCAACTGACTTGTTCACGGCACCCTACTGACCGGTTTCTAGCGATGTGCCAAATTTGAGCACAATCGGCCCAGCCGTTCTCGAGATCTTGAAGCGGCACCCTGCACGTGCGCACGTGCAGAATGGATCCCAACTGATTTGTGCACGGCACCCTACTAACTGGTCCCTAACCGTGTACCAAATTTGAGCGCCATCGGTCCAGCCGTTCTCGAGATCTGGAAACGACCCCTGCACGTGCGCACGTGCAGCAGCACCCCAACTCTGGCACATGGATATGCAGTGCCTAGTGGGTGCCTACTATTGGTGCCAATCGGAATTTCTTTTCTTGGAATTCCAATTTTTGTCCAATTCCAATTTGGAATTTGGACGGAATTCTTAACATTTTTTGGAAATTAATCGGAACACAAGGCCTTTAAAATTTAAAATTTTAAAACGGAGGCCTTTAAAACGCTTTTAAACACTTTTAAAATTTACGCAAAAAATGCAAAAATCGTTAAAAATTGGAATAGCCCCCGCTTTGGACAAAATTGGAAATTTACTTGGCAATTTCTTGGAATTGGATCGGAATTGGAATTGAAATTTCATGAAATTGGCACCACTAGTGCCTACCTACATGCCAAATTTCAGCGCAATCGGCCAAGTAGTTACCGAGATATTGCAACAATTACAAAACTGACACCTCTTAGTTTTGCGCGTGGCACGTGCATAAGGGGTCACCCACATGCATCGGGAATAGTCCAATACTTGGTAGAAGGAATGAAGCTACCCTACAAAAATTACGCCGTGTAAATCGGTCAAGTGGTTGCTGAGATATAAGCCTCGCAAAAGCGTCGGCCGGCCGCTCATACTCAGAAATTTCCGTTAATCTAAGGAAAGACTACGCTCGCTTCGCTCGCTCCGTAATAAGGTAACATATCGTTTCATGCTCTGATATGTTGGTGATACCTCAAAGGCCACTCTCTTCAAGCTCAAGGGAACTAGGGTCAAAGTAGGTCAGCAAATGGGTCATCCACCGAATTTAGCGCCATACTTTTTGGAGCCAAAATCGCGGCCGAAGAGATTTGACATTGTATGGTGCCCATTACCTGCATGCTTCGTTCAATGCCTAATCTTCGATGTTATTATTACTCCATCGCATTAACATCAGGAGCTTCAAGATGCTTGGTAAACCATTTGTATGATCGTTTCTGGTCCAGATGGCCTGAGAGGGTTATGGATTGCTATTTATGTACACTGTGGCTCAAACAATCATATATGGATGAGCAGTAATGTTTCTTAATGTGTTGCAAGGAAATGGTATTGGCATTCTATTCAATCTCGGTTCCGCGAATCTGTGAATTAATCGAATGGCTGCCTACGTGGGTGCATATCGACATTTCTGTCCCGTTTCTTAACTGCCACATGGCCACCACCATTCGGCCCTTCGCCTGCCCCTACCACCCCCCCCCCCCTCCCCGCCGTTCTCTCTCAGGCAGTACGTACCCAGCCTACCTCCTCGCCCCGTCGCCCCTCGCTGTTAAACAGTACGTAGTACGTACCCAGCCTACCCCCTCCCCTCCCCGCCGTTCTCTCGCAGACAGTACCTACGTATCCAGCCTACCACCCCCTCTCTGTCTTTGTCTCTCAGACAGTACGCGGTCACTGTACCGGGGCTGGCCCAGCAGCGTGCCGGCACCCTCCATCTGCACGCCTTCGTGTCCCCGATGCCGCCTCCGGGCCGGCGCTACCAGGACATGATCAGCAGTCCGGTGGCCGTGTACGCGCGCGCGCCGCTCATAGAGAACCACGTGCCGCAGACGGAGGCGTTCAATCTGCTGGGAGGGGATGAACAGGTACGGGGAGGGGAGGGGAGGGGTGTAGGTGCTGGTGGCATTGTGGATGGCTCAGATAGAACTAGAAGCCGGAAAATAAAAGCGTGCATTATTTTTCCGTAACTTGTACGCGTGATTTGCTACCAATGCGTTCGTCGTTCATGGCAATCGATCTTTTTTTTTTACCACACTAAATAAGCCATTCATTCATGAGGACATTTTTTGAAGCAGCTGCACTGGGAACTGATGATCTGAGTCATTATCTGGAGGCGGGCGTTTTTGCATTCATATTCCCGCTCCGCTAGCAGTGACTATCTAAGCAGATACACCGCCCCCTCCCCCCTCCCCCGCAGAGTGCGCCGCGCTCGTCCCAGTCCCCCGGCCCGGACGGCCGGCCGGTGCCCCACCTGCGCTCCCACGTCCCGCTGCTGGTGCTGGCAGAGGAGGCCGGCCTGCCGCGCAAGGACATGCCGGCAGACATCGCGGCCATGGTGGCCCAGCGGCTGTCGCCCGAGGGCAGGTCAGTGACCCAGAGGGCAGGTCATCAGGGGGGCAGGTCAATGACCCAGGAGGCCAGGAGGCGGGTCAGCGGAGGCAGGTCAGTCGGACACAGAGGGCAGGTCACTGGAGGGCATGTCAGTGACACAGAGGGCAGGCCAACGGAAGGCAGTTCAGTGACACGTGTGTGTGTGTCGATCGTGAGATAAGCCATTTTTATTCTTCAATGTCTATTAATCGTGCTTCTGATCTTGACCTGAAAGTGACAATGACTCATTCCACTCATGACTTTGATTGTGGTTGAATCGTGGCCATGGCGTGACCTTGTCCAATGCCGCGACCTCTATCATGACACGACCGTGACCTAACTACGACATTGTCTCTCGATTAGAATTTGACTCTGATCTAACATGTGACCTGACACTGACCAACCGAACTTGGCTTATCTCACCCAACATTGACCCGACCCTAACTCTCCTCTGACCTGACCTGACCTGACCTGACGTTGACACATCTCCAGATACCTGCCCCTGCTGCGCGTGGACCAGCTGTCGACCCGGGTCAAACATCTGACCCGCATCACCGCCGCGCCGGGAGAACAGATGAACGTCACGGTCAGACTGGAGCCGGCCCGACTCGGTAAAATGAGGTCAGTCCGGGTACTCAATTTGAAGTCTGTCCGGGTCGGTCTGAATGATATCAAATTGGTACCCTTCAGTGTCTGTAATCTGGTGGAAATGATCGAACGCCTGTGAAAAAATGCATGCTCATCTGGTTTTCTTTCATGTAGTGATGGCGTGATACCGGTCAACCGATCACAGAACGTTCATCTCACTAACTATGCTGTACTTTGTCCCGGGTGATGACGATTTGCACTGTCGTTATCTCCACGGCAGGCTGTGGATGCAGTTTGAGCTGGGCATGACGTCGATGCAGCAGCTGGGTTTTTCGGCCAAGGACCTGGACGAGGTGAAGGGCATCTTCACCGAGACCAACATGGTCCTCCTGTTGGTCACCATGTTCGTCTCCGCCGTCCACGTGAGTAGGCGGTGGACATCCTGCCGCGGAGGGAAGAAGCTAAAGGTCGGGAGGCCGGGGTATAGGTACTGGTCAGTGCGGAATCTGTGATGGTGCTGGGAATACAAGTGATGTTTTTATGATTGATTTCGTGCTGTTCGCATGGAAGGGTGGATAATGTATCCATATGGATGCTATTTTCCCCCACTAGTCCCATTGGGATAACAAAATGAAACTACTTCGTCTATCTTATTCAGATACAATAGCTGCGTTCGTCTTCCAGCGCTACCATATTTTCCCTAACAACAGTCCAAAAATCACGCCCCTTCCCCTGTTTGATCGCAGCTGCTGTTCGACTTCCTGGCGTTCAAGAACGACATCGAGTTCTGGCGGCGGCGCAGCTCTTTCGCCGGCCTGTCCACGAAGGCGGTGCTGTGGCGCGCCTTCTCACAGGTGGTGGTGTTTCTCTATCTGCTGGATGAAGAGACCAGCTACCTGGTCATTGTGCCCATGGGTATCGGCACAGTCATTGAGGTTAGTGCTGATGGGGAAGAAGAGGTGGTGCGGTGATTTAGGATATGGAGTTATGGATGTGGCATCTCGTGGTGACCTGACACTTCGTGTGTGTTTTTTTTTTGTGAGATGCCGATGTTAATTGATAATGATGTACAAATGCTGGCCAGCTGCTCCTTGAGTTGCTAATATATTCTCATATTTTCCGGGAGTGAGTTCGTACCAGAGGAATTTTAGATATCCCTGTCCCATTTCATACTTTAAACCTCAAGGATGCCGTTTCGTCATCAGTTCAGTACCGTAGCACACCATCTTGTCCCCCTACCCTTCCCCTGATCACCCCCCTCCCCCTGTCGGCAGATCTGGAAGGTGTTCAAGGCGTTCCACATCTCCATCCGCTGGGGCCTGGTGCCGCGGCTGTCGTTTGGCGCCCGCACCTCGGACGAACTGCGTACAGCCGCGTTCGACTCTCAGAGTATGACCTACCTGTCGTATCTGCTCTATCCGCTGTGTGCCGCCGGAGCGGTGTACTCACTGCTCTACACGCCACACAAGAGGTGTGTAGGGGGGGAGGGGAAGACTTGGTAACCGGTGTTTTTGTGTGGGCTTCGGGGATGTCGTTTGTGTGTGAAGCTGGGCCAGAGAGTCGCTATATGGAGACTGGTTGATTTGGGATGGGAGGTATCGGGAGGTTATTGATTTCTGAAATCCAAACGAGAGTTTCATGCTCACAGGTAATGCAACCACTAAGGTGTAGAGGGTGAGGGGGGGGTGAGGGGAGGGACGTGGTGACCGGTGTTCTTATGTGGGGTTCGTGGATGTCGTTTGTGTGTGAAGCTGGGCCATAGAGCTGCGATATGGGGACTGGTTGTTTTGGGATGGGAGGTATCGGGAAGGTATCAATTTCATAAATCCAAACGAGGGTTTGTTATGCTCGCAGATAATGCAACTAAACTAAGGCGCATACATACAACCAGCGAAACTTTAATGGGTTTCAGATCGGTAACATTCAGCTTAATATCAGGCATTGCCGTATGTAAATGGTCCCCGAGAATTTACGACTGGTATCATGTTTTACATCTTTTTGGCAGCGATCCTGACCTGACCTGTCCTCCCCCCCCCCCCCCCTCCTTCTCGACAGCTGGTACTCGTGGTGCATCCAGAGCGTGGTGAACGGCGTCTACGCCTTCGGCTTCCTCTTCATGTTGCCGCAGCTGTTTGTCAACTACAAGCTCAAGTCGGTGGCCCACCTGCCCTGGCGCGCTCTCATGTACAAGGTGGGTGCCAGCGCCAGGATAGGGCGGAAACTCTGTCAGGGATAGGCGAGGGCTGCCAGACAGGGCTAGGAAGTTTTATGAGGATTGAGAGGGGCTGGCTTTTGACTAATTTTTTCTTGCGTCAAATCAAATTTTATCCGTACCTTTCTTCTAGTTTCAAAGCCTCTTTCGTGTCCGGGTTTGGACCTCACGCAAAGTAAGTGAATGTTGCTACTTTTCTTAACGCGCATGGTCCCGCCACTACCCCACCCTCCTCACGCAGGCTTTCAACACGTTCATCGACGACCTGTTCGCGTTCATCATCACCATGCCGACGGCACACCGCGTGGCCTGCTTCCGGGACGATCTGGTGTTCCTGGTGTACCTGTACCAGCGCTGGCTGTACCCGGTGGATAAGAGTCGACTGGATGCCGCCGCCAGCTTCGCCGAGAGCAGCGAGGTGTCGCCGCCGCCGGCAGAGACGCCGGCTCAGCAGAAAAAGCAGCAGTGAGGGGTGCGGCGGGGACGCGGATGATAGTCAGGTTTGTCACTCATGGGAGCGATGCCGGAGGTGGGTTGTAATGTCTTGGAGGGGCTGCAGGTGGTATTTGTATTTACTATGAATCTGGTAGGAATTTCGATGTGGGTGGTGAGGGGACGTATCTGATGGGAAGGTGGAAGTTACTATGCGAGTTTAGGAAGGGGAGTGGCGAGTAAAGAGCCAGAACGGAACACAGTACGGTCGAGAGGAGCGGACAGTGTGGCAGGCGGGTCTGCCGCTCCGAGGACCGCTGTGGGGGGCGGGCTGGAGCCGCTAGTGTTGTAGACGTTACCGTAAAGCGTGGTTCACATCACACACATGGTTGTGGGCGGCTGCAGTTATGATGGTATGACGTGTTATGAAGCAAACAGGGAGCAAACATCAGCTGACCTAAGCTTCGTCCTCGACCCGGCGATGACTACCAAAAAGACCGCAGAATTAAAGACTGCATTGGCGTGCATGCCCTGTGATTGCTACGAATGGTTGCGGGAGGGTGCTGTAAAAGTGTATGGGTTTTGTGGCGAGGGGTCCGGTGACCCGAGGCATTGGACAGGGTTTTCAACCAAACGCAGGTCTCAGGAGGTGGCTGGTGGTAGGTTGGGGCTGCACTGTCACAGGGGGTGGTTGGGTGTCAGGAACGCAGCGCGGGCGTGGTTGTATCGGTTGTAGCGTCTTGTTTATGGCCGGGTTGGTGTCGGGTGTCGGATACGGCGGTCCGGGGCGGTCGTCTTGCACAGGCTGCCAGCAATGTGATGCCAAAGCTGTCGCCGTTCGCGGCGAGTCTCCATTCCTTCCTCCCGCTTTTAGACAGGCGGCGAGGCGAGCTTTCGGTACTGCTGTTTCTCGTCGACTTGTTTATTTATTTTGTAGTTTCAAGGCGTAGGATTATCTGAACTAGCTGTCTATGTGAATGAAAGTGCTTCACTTTGTGTTTTTGTGGCATTGAAGTTGGACTACATGGTTCCGCGGCCTAGTGGGGCTCCTCGATTGTTACTTGAAAAGTGGGTGCACATCGTTCTGCGAGGGGCGCTCGGATGTGCCAGCACGCATCGTGATTGGACTGCGTAATTTGTGATTGGTTCGTGCGGATTTGTGTTTACAAACCGTTCTGCGTAAAAGAAGCTGCATAAATGTTTTCGTCTGACAAATTGCATCGTCGGTCATCCAGCTACCAGGGTTGTGCTTGACTCATGAGTCGAGTCAGAAATTTGACTCAACTCTGACTCAAATGAGTCAGATTTGAGTCGAGTCGGATAAAATGAGGAGCTGTTGAGTTGAGTCAGAGTTGAGTCGGACGAAAATATTAAGGCGTTGAGTTGAGTCAGAGTTGAGTCAGTAAAATACCTTTTGACATTAAGTTGAGTCAAACATTTAGGAACATGAGTCAGCTGACTCAACTTTCTAGAAGCAAGCTTTTCATCCCCCCCCCCCCCCCCGCTTAACAACTTCGCCCTGGCCCTGCTGCCGGATTTTTTTTTTTTCACCCCCGCCCCCGCTCAACAACTTTTTTATCTGAGTCAATTTTGAGTCAACTCACTTGACTCAACAAAAAATTTGAGTCAAGTTTGAGTCGACTCATATTTTCGTTGAGCCGCTTGAGTCATGAGTCGAGTCAGGGCAAAAAATCAGCTCCTTGTTTGAGTCAGAGTTGAGTCAGGGCTTTCTGAAGTTGAATGATGAGTCGAGTCGGCAAATTTTTTTGAGTCGAGCACAACCCTGCCAGCTACGATAGGAATGAAGAGCTCTGTCATGTATTGATTATACCTGTGTGTCGTAATCGCTGTTCTGTGGTAGTTTTTTTCCGTTCCGTGGCACAGACTGATCTGAAGAGCTCGACCCGACTCGTGATATTTGGACAGCACTGCTTTAGTCGTCCCCCGGTAAATATTTGTTGTTTCAGTCGGACGCCCAGCCAGTGTTTCCAAGCTCCTGTTGCTCATGTATTTTTTTTTTCGAATACAGAGCTAGCGGTGCATGAACGCTAAACGAACGTCTTTCTAGCCGAAGGGAGGGGATTTGCCGAATGCCGATTGCGATGCCCGTAAAGTCAAAGCACTCATCCATTTGTGAGCTCAGGTGGGACTTAAGTTCAGAGTTTTGGGTTAATCAGAATTTATGGACTGCTCATTTTTCTTTGAGGTGTTGCAGACGTCAGCAGGTCCTGTCCCTGACGGCCGGGCGTGACCTTTCATGCCCCCGGGCGGCGGGCCCCATACGGCTGCCACTGGACAAAGCTCGGCCGACGGGTGTTTTCAATTCCGTGTATGTGATCTTTCAGATTTAAGTCGAAAATCTTGTCTAATGTGAGTTTTGCTAATTAATGTGCAACAAGGGTCCAAGGCCCTATATACCAAGGGTCGAGACCCCGCCTATGGTGGTTGTCGACTGTCGAGCCTATACCATTGGCTTATTTTGAGCCTTTCTAACCTTCCTAGAGCATCTTGAGTGTGATGGATGTGATCATTCAGGTTGCACAGAACAATATTTTCTTACGAAATAAATCATAATTGTCGAAATTATGGATGAATTACCATAGAGAATTATGATGAAGCTATATTTGGTGCTACAAAAATTACTTCACCTTTTGATATGGCAGCAATTGGTGAGTGACGCATCCGACGCTCCCACGAAGTAATGATTGTCACCGGGACAGCTAGATAAATGTTATTTGGAGTATATTTTTAACGAAAAAAAAACTGTTGAATTTTATAGACCGTAGAAAATATATGTGTCATTTTCTTAAAAGTGTGTGCATCACATGCTGATCGAGTGATTGGAGCGTGCGTTTCACAAGCTTTATCTTCAGCCTGGGAGGCAGATAAAAATCAAAATTTCTTCAGGCTGTTTTCCACTAATTTTGTCCTGAGGCCTTACAGGTGAGAGTGAACTTTCATATTCATATCTTCTTTGTTGTCATTTTATCAAAATCAAAATGGTAGCACTTGGCATCATCAAACCAAACTGGTGCTATCTCAAGCTACGAATTTCATCCACTTATTCCATTTTCCAACTATGAACGATGAAGAAATCAATAATCATTCAACATGCTACATACATAGGCTACAGCATGCTCTGTTTTTTGCTTAAACATCTTTCTGGCAGCTTAGCATGTGATGAACAATTGAATCTTTGCTTAGGGCACTGGGCAAAGAGGAATGCAAGGGCAGCAGAGGCCTGGTGCACTGTGCATGCAGGGTACTGGGATAAGGGATCTCATAAAATCAATTACCTATGTTTTGCAGTTTAGCCTATTGTTCTTGGAAATTTCAGTAGGTATTTGTTAACTGCAACTTTACTAAAAGCATATTGTCTTCCTGTTTTAAGCACATGTCAACTTATTTTGGCGAGTGTTGGGTAATTGTTTCCATGCCTATATGCTAAGACCATCTACCAGTAGTCATAAAGCAGGTGTCACACTCTTTTTTTCCATCCAAGGAGAAGCATGCCTTTACCTAAAGATGCTTTCTTTATCTTATCAAACCAAACCAAACCTAACCAAACCTCACCTAACCTTACCTACAACCTGCAACGTAAAACCTACAAACTACAACCTAAAACCTACTCCATAAAACCTACAACCTACAACCTAACCTAGGCTACAGTGCCTCTTCTTGGTTGGAAAAAAAAAACAAGTGTGATGCCTGCTTTACTACTACCCAACTACCTACATTTTTTCAGTAGGGGTTTCTACTTGTCCACTTGCAGGTGCAAATACATTTTGCAAGTGCTGCCATAGGTTGCATTATGAATCATTAGTTTGATATGTGATAATGTTAGATTTTCTAATGCCTTACCATAGCTTTTTCTCTCAGTGAGCTTGTTAAGTGTTGAATATTGATTTTTCTACTTATTTCCAGGTGTTACTATGCAAACCATCAAGTGTGTCGTGGTAGGGGATGGTGCTGTTGGAAAGACCTGTCTGCTCATCTCATACACAACCAACCGCTTTCCATCAGAATATGTGCCCACCGTAAGTTTCTTACATACCTTTTACCAATCAGCTGTGGTCACTACAATGGGACGATTAATCTAAACAGAGCTCTCTGATAGGTACCAATGATTCTTATTTTAAATGGTACATTTGCTTGCTGAAGCCAATGCTTGTTTGCATGTGATAATGAATCATTTCTGGTGACAGACTTTTTTGTTGAAGTTTCAATAACACTGGTAATTAGACAATTTTTATACCCCTGACTTATTCTGATGTTAATTAATTTATTCATCTCACAGACTACTAGCTGCACAAGAAAAGAACATTTACTGGTCTTCTACCAAGTTTGGCGCACAAACAATCATACACCCGCCATCAATCCCTGGTGCACCCATCACGCCATCGGACTCCCATCTGCAGGTGTTTGACAACTACGCTGTGACGGTGATGATTGGCGGCGAGCCGTACACGCTCGGTCTGTTCGACACGGCCGGTCAGGAGGACTACGACCGCCTGCGGCCGCTCTCCTACCCCCAGACAGACGTCTTCCTCGTCTGCTTCTCGGTCGTGTCGCCCTCCTCCTTCGAGAACGTCAAGGAGAAGGTGGGTTCTGGACTCATGGGTGTGCTTGGCTGCTTTGGTGGATGAAGGCGGTCAGGTGAGGCGGTTGTTGTCAGTAGGCTGAGTGTGGTACGTTTTATTGAACCAATGCTTGTTATTGATTGCTTAGTTTTATTCTGATGTTTATTTGACAATACACACAAAGCATTTTCAGATGACATCACCCCCTGATCTCCTAACATAGGAGCACACATCAATCGTCTCCAACTGATCCTCCATGATGAAAAAATGAAAAATTGCAGCAAAAGAGCGCACAGCTTACTGAAATGCCAACAGATGAGCAATTACAATAAGTTTTAGTAGAAGTGCAAGAATGAATGAACACAGGTAGCTTAAACAGAGGAGCCATGTAAGTGATGATGATGGCACACAAACTGCGACAACAATCCTGCTCCAACGATCTTTGCACCAGCGACAAAATTGTATGCGAAATTGCGCTCAATAATGCAATCATCTGGCTGTATTATATTCGCGGACGTATTGGTTGCTTTTGACGGTTTTACACTTCATTGCCCTGAGCCAGAAATTAAACTCGCAGTGTGTAATCGATATTCGCACGATTTGCGTTCGCCTGCTCGTCTTTCTGCGTTGTTTTCCCTGTCCGACTCCGTTACGCTCTAACGGCTGGGTCGGTTTGATGATAGGCGCACTTTTCAAACAGCTGTCGGAACCCCGAGCGGGTGACCTGGCGGCCGCAGCGGTCCTGCGGCGCGCGGTACGTGTCCCCGATCGGCGAGCCGTCCTCTTTTTGCAGCGACCGCAGCAGGGCCAGCTCGGGCGCCAGGATGCGCGCCGGTGTGAGCAGCAGTATCCAGTGCACCACCTCCAGGTAGGGCGCTCCTGTCAGCGACCCCTTGTACTGCGCCCGGTCCGACAGATTATCCGGCAGGAAGGAGGCCATGGACGGCGGCGCCGCCATCTCCACCGTCGAGACGGCCGTGGGGACGCGCGCAATGGCCTCGGTGAGCGCCGTGAAGCCGCGGCCGCCGCCGTACTTTTCGTCCAGCGAGTAGAGCACCCCCAGCACAGCGATACCATCCACCTTTGTGAGCGCCAGCTCCAGCGAGTCGTACTTGGCGTTGTAGGTTTGGATGTGCAGTTCGAGCGGGTAGCGGCCGCCGTTGACGGTATGCTCAGAGCCGGCCGAGTCGTCTGTCGCCCAGTGCATATCGATGGCGAACGGGATGAACGTCCCGGGCAGCCCTGCCCCGCTCATGGTCGGTATCGTCCTGTCCTGCCACGTAGCCCAGCACATGACGTCCTTGCCCGTGTTGCTCAGGTTGAAGGTGGTCGGCGGGATGTCAAAGTTCTTCAGTCGCAGCGTGCTGGTGAGCCGGCGCTGCACGCAGCACGTGTTGATGTCGATTGGTGACTGGCGGGCGTGGAGACACTTGATGTCCTCCTCCTCGCTCTCCTCAAAGACGCTCGTGCCGTCCTCTGGTTCGTTAGGGAATGGACTCGGGTACTCAAATAAGCCGTCAGATGTTTTGGCCGGAAGATCCTCCGGGTACTGGAGGCTCTCCACGGCGTGTTTGTCTCCCTCTGTATAGACGGCGTACCCCACTGTCAGATTAGGCTGGTCATCAGAGCTGGAATACGTTGAAGCTTCTTGACTGGGAGTTTCATGACGATCTAGGACCGTTTGCTGAGGGATGCTGTCGATGCCGTCGCGGATTTCTGCGCTCCTGCCGATCGTTTGGACGGCGGAGTCACGGACGTTGTGAGCTCCGCTCCCCGTCTGCTCCGCGCTGACGTGGCTGCCGTGCCGAGCGGTGTGGAAGAACACGCCGTACGGCCCGGTGCTGTAGCCGTAGCTGAAGCGGGCGTCGGAGACTGTGCCGAGGAGGGTCAGCAGGAGCAGACCCGCCGGGGTGGCCGGGCGGCGGACCGACGCGGACCTCATGGCGGCTCGGCTGGGACGCCGACAGTAGCTGCGGAGATCCACACCTATAGCGGCGAGTCCGTGAAGAGCTGAGAGACGATGAAGTCTGAACACCAGGCAGTAGAGGACGGGCAGTCACCAAACGACCGTCGAATGAACGTTAACTGATTGCTACTGACGGTATGTGACGTCCTCCCTCGGCGGCAGCGTGACGGTCAGTGCGCGGCTGCTCGGTCCACCAGCTATATAAGAGACGCCGGAGGCTGTGCCCGGGGTCCCCCAGTCCTTGGAGACGGTCGACCGGCTGCCGAGGGGAGCTGACCGACACTGGACGGACGGCGGACGGCACGGCGGCTGCCACTGACCGGCCGCCGAGGACGGGGGCTTTTTGTCAGCGGCAGGGTGGACAGGTGACTGCCCTGATGGCATCGCCGGCCAGGCCGGCCAGGTGAACCGTTTCCTCTGATCGGCCGTGGAATGGGACGACTCTGACGCCACAGACGTCACATGTTGACGCTAGTTGAAGCTGACGACGGCGGCGGTATCTGAATTTCAGGACACACGTTTCCTGGTGGAAGTCGCCTCCATCTTTGAACAAACGTGCCCAAGCCACGAAACATTCCCCGAATCATTACACCCCTGTCAAACTTTGTAGAAACTCGATCACAGGTTTACTTTTTATTCTGTCTGTATGTACAGCCCTCAGCAGACTGCGTGGTAGGTATTCTTTTTTCGACAAAACCGGTAATAACTCAAAGATTATGTTATCAGTCGGTCGGAACTCACTGCAAGTAGAGGGCGCGCCACGCTCCACTCCTTCGATTGGGTCTATCACTTAACAAACTAGATGCCTTTGTGGCAACAAAATGCAAAAGTTTGTTTTTGGAGCAATTATAAACTTTTGGATTTTGTTGCCAAACTGGATGGAAAATGAGTACGATGGGAATGCCAATCCAAGGTGCGGAGTCTCCCGCGTCTTGCTGTTACGATTTCCGAGTGACCGATAGCATAGTATCCGCATTATTCTCGGTTTTGTCGGAAAAAGAATACCTACCACGCAGTTTGCAGAGGGCTGTACATTTGAACGATGTTTTAAAATAGGATGGTCGTTGAATTCTCGCCATGTTCGCTAAACGCCGCATCGTTGGCAATGAATCTACGAGCTACAGCGTCCAGCGATGGGGTTAGCCGTTTCCGAGAATCACAAACATCAGGAATAATGTTCCAGCGTCCTGCACTTCATTCACTAGCTCAGAGAGCCAGTTAAATGAGTAATTTTACGCCAGCATTCTTTATATTTTATCTGAATGTTACACTGGCTGTATTTGATGCGGTGTTCTTGAATGCCTTTTCCCAGACGATGGCTCTCTTGGACCGACTTTTTACTGAACGCTTCTGCTGAAGGTTTCCAGTTTAACCTGTCACGATGTCCATCGACACGCCATGGTACCAAGCCGGCACTGCCGTGAAAAACTGGACCCCGCCCCAACAGCTCATCGTTTTCACCCGCATTAATTATTCATCATCTGTCCTTAATGCCACCGACTAGCTGCTGATGTATTTTGTTGATAACGTTGCTGCCCGTCGTGGTCAGTTTTTACCTACCCTCTCGGTGCTGTCGTTACCCCGCCGTGGTTCCGAACTCGCTGCCTCGCTGACGGTGGCTCAGGCTACCACTGCTGGAGGGCTGTGCTCGCCACTGCACTGATGTTCTGACCATCATTGGTAAAAGGTTCTTAATTCTGACTACCACCGCAACTTTGCTCATCATCGCTGCTTGTCTTTTACATCCACACCTCACCGTTCAACCCCATCTTTCCCTCGCTAGCTTTCAACCTCACCCCCTTATCACGGTGAATAACCCCATTTCCCTCGCCGTTTCCCGGCAGTGGGTGCCCGAGATAACGCACCACTGTCAGAAGACGCCGTTCCTGCTGGTCGGCACCCAGATCGACTTGCGAGACGACGCCGCCACCAACGAGAAGCTCGCCAAAAACAAACAGCGGCCCATCTCACTCGAGTACGGCGAGAAGCTGGCCAGGGAGCTGCGAGCCGTCAAATACGTCGAGTGCTCGGCGCTCACACAGGTGAGAATGGAAGGGTTGTGAGAAGCAAGATTGCTGTGAGAGGTGGGCGAGGATGAGTGGGTGTAGTCAGAGTTTGAGATTGGAATGCTGTCCGCTGACTGCGGACGATTGATATGAAGTCGTGTGCTTGTGTTGGGTACCGAATCTAGTGAGTGGAGATGAGTTGATTGTAATGACCGTCATCCTTGTATCGTGTTGATCTATGACTGATTACTTGTGAAATGTGATCGATGTCGATGACATGTGTCCAATGTCCGTGACCTATGTCCGTTTTCGGTGGCCTGTGGTGAATGCATGTGACCGTTGTCCTTTGTCCGTGACCTGTTGTCCGTTGTTAATGACCCTTGTCCCACCCCACTGGTAGCTGATGAATTCCTCCCGCTAACACTCGCCCGTCTCCGTTCCGCAGAAAGGACTGAAGAACGTGTTTGACGAGGCTATCCTGGCCGCCCTGGAGCCGCCCGAGCCGGCCAAGAAGAAAAAGTGCGCCATCTTGTAATTGAGCTGCCCGATCGCGGCCACCGGCCGGCGCCGCACCGCGTGAGTTCGGGGGGGGGGGGGGGTTGTTTGAGACGGGTAGATCTACAGCTGACAGGTGCTGCAGGTCTACTTGGCAAAATGCGTATGCTTGTTAATCGTGAATCCTAACACAGTTTATTGGCAAACATTGCTCGTGCTTATTGTTTCCTGTACTGCACTGTCTGTGCGTAGATTATGAAACAATTCGAAGTGCTAACACCAGTATAACGCCTTTTGGGGCGACTAACGGAGCGAGCGAGAGGGTGAGCCTTGCACGTGCGAAATTTCGAGGGGGTACCTCCAGCTGACTTGTGCACGGCACCCTACTAACCGGTCTCTAGCGATGTGCCAAATTTGAGCACAATCGGCCAGCCGTTCTCGAGATCTGGAAGCGGCACCCGGCACGTGCAAAATGGGTCCCAACTGACTTTTGCACGGCACCCTACTAACCGGTCCCTAACCATGTGCCAAATTTGAGCGCCATCGGTCCAGCCGTTCTCGAGATCTGGAATCGACCCCTGCACGTGCGCACGTGCGGCAGCACCCCAACTGTGGCACATGGATATGCATTGCCTGCCTAGTGGGTGCCTACCTACATGCCAACTTTCAGCGCAATCGGCCAAGTAGTTACAGAGATATTGCAACAATTAGAAAAGTGACACCTCTTCGTTTTGCACGTGGCACGTGCATAAGGGGTCACCCACATGCATCGGGAATAGTCAAATACTCGGTAGAAGGAATGAAGCTGCCCTATAAAAATTACCGCATGTAAATCGGTCAAGTGGTTGCTGAGATATAAGCGTCGCAGAATCGTGACCACGGCCGGCCGGCCGCTCATACTCAGAAATTTCCGTTATTCTACGTAAGACTCCGCTGTCAGTCCGCTCGCTTCGCTCGCTATGATGTCCTGAAAATTTATATCATCCAGACAGCTAACATAATTGGAAGACGATCAGAAATGATCCTGCATCTACTAGATGGAGTCGACGAAATAAGTCTAAGTCTAAAGTAATTACCTTTTTTCGTTCTGTGCTCATCCTGCCTCAAGCATTATACCGGGCAAAGTCAATGTGTGGGTTTGTTGGGTTCCTCACCCGATTCCCGCTAGCCCTCACGTGTCCACTTTGTCTGACTTGTTGCAGTCGTTCTACACCACTGGTGGCTCGCTGCCGCAGAAGTTAGAGGACCGGCCTAACTGAATATGGAGAGGGGACTTCTATGGAGCAAAACGAACGTCGACTCTGTCCGGCCGTCTCTGAAGAATTGGTGACGTTAGGAACGGGAAAAGTGACGTCACAAAAAACAGTGACGTCAGCTACAGACTTGGCGATCCGGCGCTGTTCTGAACCGTTTGTCGATTCCCCGCGCCGGTATCGTCTCTGTGCGGGAGCTGGTCCCGGCGCGGTGCGTCATTTCTGTGGAATTATGGCAATGAACTGGCGCCGGTGAGGGTTCATTGTCGATACGTCTCGCATTTCCGCGTCCTGAGGTACTACACGCTCACAATATGCGCCAAGGCGCGCGGCGTCGGATCATTTCGCCTATTATGTGTGGTGAGCGGCTATTTTTACGGCCGGAAAGAGGATGCAGCCAGATAAATACTTAGTGCTATCGTATCGCAGAGGCTTGTAGGGGTGAGAATGACATGCTGCCGCCGTTTCACAAACAGCACGGTACTAATTTAATGCTATATTATAACCCACTGTATTGTTTCCAGTTATCTGCTATCTATCGTCTCCCGGTGCTGTCCGCTGTCTGGTATCAGAGTGTCGCCGCACTGGCGGTGACCGCCGGCCAACACACGTGCGCTGTCGTCTGTATGTGCTTTCAGTCTTGATGCTCGCTCACCGAATTCCCAAGTCGGCTCAGCAGGTGCCGCGCATTTTTACTTTAGTACTTTGATGGGCTCCTAGCTGCCCGCCTCTCGGCTGGCGAGCCTGTCTAGTGGTCGGCGGGGGGGGGGGGGGGGTCGCCCCGGGGATGGAGGGGAGGGCGCCCGGGAGGGAGGGGTGACGCGGCGGTGCTACTGATTCGGCCGCGTGTCCGCGCGCCCTGCTGGACGGCCGACGGTGTCACAAAGGATGATTTCGTTGCCCACTGGCGCTGCCTTGTTCGAGAGAGATGGATCGAAATGGAACTGGTGTGCTGTCCGTATTTGTATCGGGAATACAGAGGAGGCGCGGTCGGCCGCCGCCGCGGCAGATAATGGTGTTTGTGTGGAATTCGTGAGATTGATTCCTCATGTCGTGGAAGGGGAGGCACTGAGTGAACACTGATTACGTGGATAGGTAGTATCTGATTCAGTGAGGGCAAGCACGTATGAGTTAAAGGAAGATCACAGGGGTTTTGACTGGGTAGACGCGCTGGTGTAGTAGTCTGTTACATCTGACATATTTTTAAAGGAGCTAATGCTGTTAGTGCATGAATGGGTCAACCATTGTTGTTTGACGACTCGGCTGATATTTGTAGCCTTGCATTCGATCAAGAGCGACCCAAGATCATGACGAGCATCAAACCCGAACCAAGATTCCTTTACTACCCCCGAACGACCGTAAAGGTTTTTCCCTATTATCGGACGGGCTACCATATATTTTCTCTTGCGTGTTGCTGCCCCTGCTGACACTTGTTTTTTATACACAGCAAGTTTACAGCCGCCGATTAATTGCATTTTGTTTTAGTTTTTGTGCAAATAGGAAGTAACTGCACATATATAACTGTGCTAAGTTATGTCACTGAAACACATCCTTAGCCTCTCATTCAACGTGAGCAAGGGGCTGCGACCAAGGTAAGTCGAAAGTTCAAGTTTTCCCAGAGTCAGGTCAAGGTCCATTCCTTTTCAATATCTTTGGTGTTGTAGGTACTCTTGTATTTCATTTGCACAATTCTTGTGGCTTCTGAAGCTATGAAATATTGATGATACTTTTCAGTCATTAGAATCAATGTGGTTTCACACTATGTGACACTATTAGTTGACATTTTATTTGATATTTTCTAATGTCTCCCTTCTCCCCCTCTTTTACAATCTGCCCTCTTCTTCATTTTTTTTCTCTTCATCCTCCCCTCTCTCTGCTTAGGTATAGGCACAAAGTGACCTTTGCAGTCGGCACACCCATAAACCCCAATAAACAAATCTCTCTGCTAATAACTCTTCACTCCCTATTTTTCCACTATTATTTTCTCTTTGCCCTTTCAGTAGGCGGAACTATGGTCATGAGTACCCAAATATAGGAACGTTCCCATTTTTGGGAACGGAGTTCCCAAATATGGGAACGGGCGTTCCCATTTATGAGAACGGAAGGCAATTTTTCGGCCGTTCGCCCACTAAAACTCAAAAGTGCATCACGTCTAAAAAAAGTGCACGCTGATTTAAGTATCTACTAAATCTCCATAAAGTTATCTTTAATCTGACCGTGGAACAAGGAAATTGACCGTGGAATGATATTTTTAATGATTTTTTAAAAATGACAGAATGGTGGAAATATGGGTTATATGACATTTAACATGCAATTTTAAGGAAAATGAAGCATTTTTTACATTTTGAGGTCAAGTATAATAATTTTCGCCTGGTTATGAAGTTTCATTCTAGCGACACCAGATGCTGACATATGCAAGCGAACACGCGGACAGTCCCGAGGTAATATTGTTGACTTTTGGTGTCGAGGCGATCGACCGCGTGGAACGTCAGTGATTTTACTGAACTACTGTTGTAAACTCAGTTTCAGTGGTTTAAAATCATTCAGCTGTATTTTATCAGTTCTGAAAGACATATTTTATTTGGATGCTAGCTGTTTAGCGTTGTTTTATAAGCAGCGTCATGAGCGTGGTTTTTGTCTTCGGCGTTTCTAAGCATGATCGTTTGGGGGGATTTTCTCTGATATAGGTCGCTCTTTGTGGCTTATTTATAATTTTTATGCTGATTTCGATCATTCCTCGTGCCCATCCTACCAGGCCTTTTGCCACTTACACTCATTAAGAAAGGAAAAAACTAGATTTTCATTGGGACTAGGTGTTTTGAGGGTGTAACATATTCAGCGTTCCCATTTTTGGATACTTCTTGTGCTCGTCAACTCTCGGTGATTAGCAGACAGGTGCTTGACATGTCTCCACCCTCGGCGCGGACGGTGGATATAGGTATGGAAGACCTTGTTGAACATCGCTGAGCGTTGTGGATTACGTAATCCTGCAGAGGGGGGCGTGCCCGCTGCGAGATCGACGGGAATAAAAGCGCAGAAGACCGGGCGAAACATGCAACGGTCTTGCCGGAAAGGTCATCTGATGATTGTTGCGTTAACAATAATTTGCGGCGTTGGACGTGATGCTTGTTAATGAAAAGAGCCCCTGAAAGGCGTCGGTGAAATCGTTCCCAATTTTGGGTACGCCGTTCCCATAATAAGGAACGCTTGCAGCACCAGTGTACGAGAGCGTTCCCAAATTTGGGCTCGCGGCCCGGGTGATGGACTGCTTTAGAAATAGGGGAACGATTTGAAACTACGATGGGCCTTACAATATCAAACTCTTTCCCAACAATATTGAGACAACTATCAGGCGGTTCACGATCGTTTTATATTTTTTGGACGTCATTTAACGGTTCTTTTTCTTGTTTTAAATAATGCCTACATGGCGTTCCCATATTTGGGTTTATCGTTCCCAAACATGGGAACGAAAATGCGTTCCCGAAAATGGGTACGCTTGACCATAGTTCCGCCTACTGCTTTCCAATGTACTCTCCAACTATCTGCCTTTTCCTCTATCTTCCTTCCTCTCCTCTCTACCCTTTCTCATCTTGCTTCAGTTCTCAGTTCTCTTTTCTCATCTCTCCTTTCTTCTCCCTTTGAGTTAATCATTTCACTTCTCCTTTCTTATCTCTCTCCTCTCTGGTCTCCTCCCCTCTTCTCCCCACTTTTCTCTTCTCTCATACCTCCTCCCTCAGTCCTCTCTTCTATCTATGCTCTGTCTCTGTCTCTGTCTCTGTCTCTGTCTCTCTCTCTCTCTCTCTCTCTCTCTCTCTCTCTCTCTCTCTCTCTCTCTCTCTCTCTCTCTCTCTCTCTCTCTCTCTCTCTCTCTCTCTCTCTCTCTCTCTCTCTCTCTCTCTCTCTCTCTCTCTCCTCTCTCTCTCTCTCTCTCTCTCTCTCTCTCTCTCTCTCTCTCTCTCTCTCTCTCTCTCTCTCTCTCTCTCTCTCCCTTCATCTTTTGACCTAAACATACACAGGTGTAGATGGACACATTGACTGAGATTGCCTAGCAAGAGTCAACTATGGGTGTGTTCTGAGCTCTGGATGTCAGTCTCAACTCAGGCTGTCATTATGAGCCTTGGCATCAAAGAGTGCTCTCTGAGCCATAAGAACAATGCTACTTTTACACGGAAAACCCGAGACCCCAACTTGACACCGCCGGGAGGGAAGCCCGGGCGGGGGGTGGGAGGTGGGGTGGGGAGCTGAAGATTGCGATAAGATCGCTCGGTGTTTAAGATACAGTGGCCGCTCGGTCGGTCGCGAGAGTGGTGCTTGCTCAACTGTCGTTCAACGATCGGCGATTGAAAGCTGTGAAGGTAAGGTTTAATTGATCCGGTGAATTAGTCGGGCACTGGCAGTGTCGCTCATCCAAAATATGGTGGATCATAGACGTGATAAGGCAAATTTCACTAGGGGATCGTTTTAGCTTGCTTTATGTTCTCCGCTTGCTTATGAACGGTTACTATTTTCACACAAAAAATTGTCGGGAGACGCTCACAATTCGATTGTTTATCGTAGACCATTACTTAGCGGATGATAAGACGTGATATTGACCTTGTATCTCACCGTTTCAGACTGCACCAGACGGCGCTTCCGCAGGTGCGGATGATGAGCTCTGTGTTCAAGGAGTTTGAAAAGGCCAAGGAGCGGCTCAACAGTCTCTCAGAAGACCCCGGTGAGGAAAACATCATCGTTTTCGACTGGAATTTGATGTTCTCGTTTACGGCGTACTTGTATTTATTTCGCTGCCTTGTTTTACTTTTTCGGCAATTACGCTTATCATCCTCGGTGCAAAAAGCTACCAACTGTCTGAGAGTATGTCTTCAAAAGTATGCTGTTTATCAACAGCTGAAAGCCCCTCTAGCGCCAGAATTTCCCGCTCTTCCGCAGCTGGATAGTGTCTAACATCCCGCTCCCATCGTGACTTCACTAATCGCCTCCCTTTCTGTCCTTCCGTTTGCAGGCAATGAAGCCAAGCTGAAAATTTACGCGCTGTTCAAGCAGTCGACGGTGGGCAAAGTGGCCACCGACCGGCCCGGTATGATGGACTTCGTGGGCCGTGCCAAGTGGGACGCCTGGAACGCCCTCGGAGACATGACCCAGGTCAGCACGGGGGGGTCGTGACCAGACATGTGCATGGATCCCAGAAAATGGATCTGGGATCTGATCCCACGGATCCTGATCTCGGATCCGACGGGATCATAGATCCAGCTCTATAATTTATCAAGAGATCCGTAGGGATCACAGATCCGAGTCTCATTTTTTGCTTGAGATCCAGTGAGATCATAGATCCTCACTTATTTTTTGTCAACACATGTATCCCCAAAAAACACTTGTTTCAACTCACAAACATACTGTTTCAGTGATTTTATGTGATCGCACGTCATAATCCATAGTTTTGTGGCACTTATTGGCATAGAAACCCTATAAAACATGGTTTAAATGTGGTGCATGGTGGGATCCACTCAGATCATAGATCCATGTTCTTAATTTATCGTCAGATCATATGAGATCATAGATCCAAGATGTATTTTTCACGCCGGATCCGGTGGGATCATAGATCCCAACCTGTACTTTGCTTCGAGATCCACTGAGATCATAGATCCATCACTCGGATCCATGCACATGTCTGGTCGTGACCTTAGGGGGGTCAGCACGGGGGGGTCGTAACCTTAGCGGGGTCAGCGGGGCTGAGGATTTGTGACCTCAGCAAGGTCAGTGGGGCTGAGGGGTCGTGACCCCAACAAGGTCAGTGGGGATGAGGGGTTGTGACCTCAGGAAGGCCAGCGGCACAGTGGGCTGTTTGTTCATCTATGTTGTCCAAATAACGTTAGTTGTATTCGCTGTGATACATCAAGTGCCAGCAATTGCGATAAGCGATAGCAATTGCGGACGTATCATAAAAATCATGCGTACCATGTTTGCTTTCCGATCAATAGTGTACTCTCAAATTCATTATGACACGCCACGTCCCCCCATGCTCCCCTGCCATCCCCCAGAAGTTACACTCTCCCTTCCCCTGCCGTCTCTAGGAGGAGGCTCAGAAGGCGTACATTGCGCTGATTGACGAGCTGGCCGGCTCGATCACTGAGACATCAGACGCCCAGGCCGAGCCGGGGAAGTACAAATACATCGAGTCGACCGTAACGGATGGACTCCGGGTCATCAAGTTCAACCGGCCCGCCAAGAAGAACGCCTTCCTCAAGGAGGTAGGCAGGGCGAGTGACGCACGGGCGGTGGCCCCCTGGGTGACGTGAGGGCGTTGATTGTTGTCGTTGTTGGGGGGGGGGGGGGGGGTGTTTGATTTGATGCTACAAATACATATTTACGTTTGCTACTCTTTGTATAGCAGAGCACCTCCGGTATTATTGTTACCTCGTATACCATAGCAAGCTTAAATGACAATAGACTTAAATGACAATAGTTGAGTCCCCACTTTTCCCCATGCCCACAGCCCCACTTTGACCTGCCCTCCGCTCCTCCTCAGTCGTACGACGAGGTGGTAGCCGCCCTGAAGGAGGCGGCTGACGACCCGGCCACCGTGGTCACCGTCACCACCGGCGCCGGCGACTTCTACAGCAGCGGCAACGACCTCAGCAACTTCACCGCCATCAAGGGGGACATCAAGGAGATCGCCAAGGAGTCGGGCGTCCTGCTCAAGTGAGTACTAGTAGAGTCACGGAGCTAGAGACGTAAATGGCGAGAATGAAAGGCTCATGATTTCTTCCCAACCGATTCTTAGCAGTGCTGCGTTCATATCTGACTTTCGAATCCCCTTTTCCGTGACGTTCTCAGTTTGTATCAGTGGGAACTGCATAGGAAATGTGTCTGTATGCATCCTCTCGAGCTCACGCGTCATTACTCCCATCCAGAGCCTGCTCATGTCTATGGAAGTGTGGGTGGACGTTGACTTACAAACAACCCTCTTCCTCCGCAGCCGTTTCGTGTCGGCGTTTATCGACTTCCCGAAGCCTCTGGTGGCCGTGGTGAACGGGCCGGCGATCGGTGTCTCGGTGACCGTCATGGGCCTGTATGACGCAGTGTACGCGTCGGACCGGGCTACCTTCCACACGCCCTTCTCCAACCTGGGACAGTCGCCCGAGGGATGCTCCAGCTACACGTTCCCGCGCATCATGGGACCGGGCAAGGTGAGAAAAGGTGGCGGGAGGAGGACCGAGCTTTAAGAGGGGGATTTGACGAGGGGTCACTGAAATGTTTAAGAGACTGGTCAGCCTTAGGTGATCTCAAAGTGTTGGGCGTTTGAGGATTCTGAAATGCAGAATTTCACCATGCTGCTGAAATGCTCGCGGTTTTCATAGTTAACGTGACATCTTATTGGGTTTGCCGATTTTCCGGTGCTAGTCGCCGTAGCCGCTATAATCTTTTAGGTACACCAGTCAGTCCTTATGACTGCCGTCGTTGGTGAGCAACCTTACTTATCACTGTCACTTAATGTACGTCGTCTCTCTCTCATCCCTGACCCTCTGCGACCCGACCCGTCCCTGACTCTCTTATCCAACCTCTCTGTGTGTTTCCCGTCTGCAGGCGGCCGAGATGCTGTTGTTCAACAAGAAGCTGACGGCCCAGGAGGCGGAGCGGGTGGGCTTGGTGACTGAGGTGCTGCCGGCAGACACCTTCCAGCAGGAGGTGATGGCACGCCTCCAGAAGCACGCTCAGCTGCCCGTCAAGGTACGACACGCCAGAGTGGACTTTGGTGGTGAAATGTAGATGTTTGTGTTTATTTTAAGTCTCTCTGAGAAGAGGTCATCGCCTGGGCTCAGTACGGCAAGGTGTGAGCCGATTTTGCTAGAGTGATGCGAGGGGTTTCGAGCTTAAGTTTCAGGACACGGCGTGCTTTAAGTGTTCCAAACTGTTGTTTATTGTGTATTCAGCCCTCTCATACCTACCTTCCCGTTTCTTACGACCCGTAACCTCTCCTCCCTCCAGTCTCTGGTGTACAGCAAGGCGCTGACCCGTGACCTGGAGACCAAGATCCTGCACGAGGTTAACGATCGCGAGTGTGACCGGCTGGTGGAGCGGTGGACCAGTGACGACTGCGTCAACGCCATCATGAAGTTCTTCGCGGCCAAGTCCAAGATGTGAGGGGTCTTGATACGGTATGCGTAAGTATGCCCGGTACTGACTGGCAATGGCGGCGGGGCTAGAGTGGTCACAGGGAGCCTTGGAGGGTTTAGAGGCCGGAGCCTTCGTGATTTTATACCCCAGAGAAGATGTGTTGAGTATCGTGGAGATGATTCACAGTGGACAGTCTGATGGTGTTCTGATATGGAACGGATGCTGTTGAGGGAAGGCTGTCAGCATGCCTCTCGAAGCAGTGACTGTGATGGTTCTGGAGGCCGCTGGACTCGGCAATGAGTGTGGGGAGTGAAGAGTGAACCCGAGTCGGAGTTTGTATCGGAGAATATGACGAGGTTATGTCGTTTGGTCAGTGGCTGGCCGGGTGGACCGGTCACGTTTCAGCAATGCAATTTACACAGTACATCAATATATAGACGACGATTTACTAGTTTGTGCTGCTTCCACAAAGTTGGGCTTGCAACGACCTAAAAATGCATTGACCACAGACCCATGCCTAATTGTATTTCCATTTCATGTTCCATGACAGTGATGTTTTAACTTGTCAACAATGACGGAAACATGCTCTGACAGCGGCCAAACTAGGACGGAAACATGCTTTTGCGCTGTCATGGAATCAAGCACCTGAATGTCCTGTAAATATTACACTCACGCCCTCGCACACTACATATTGATCATAAGTTCTAAACATTCAAATAAGCTATCTTGCACCTCAAACACTTTGTTACAAAACAGGCAAACCGATCAGAAATACTGGTAACTTGCGGCAGCCTGTGTGTAGAAAGGCAGCATGATACGACACTCAATCATGAAACAACGCCAAATCACTCGCTTTGCAATAGTTCCCACGGGGACAATCCGCACGGAAAATCGGCATTCAACCTGAAACAACACTAGGAAACATGCGGCATCTCTGTAGTGGTATCTCTAGTCTAATGGCAATATTTGTAACACCGGTACCTGTTTTGGCCCCTGATAGCCCGCGGTAGCCGGGCCCCTGTCATACGAACAGAACAGCGAGTTTTCTCTGGGGAAGTCGCGCGCACAACCCATCATGCCGGACTTAATATTCAGTCAGACTTAACTAAGACATGATATTCAGAAGTCTCCTCAAGTCATAACAGTGCTATTCTCTCAAAACGTCTAAACCCGTGTAAAGAAGGCAGTTGCAAGACAGTGAAAGAAAAATATAAATGCTAAGTTTCTACTGGCCCCTAAATAATACTACTGATAACAAAGCACACCAAAAATAATTTACAATCGCCGTAAAACGCTCGTATAAAATAAATACTGTTAAACAATACATCGACGTGTCCATACGTCTTCATCCAAGGTATGTGACAGTTATGCATAAAATGTTTATATAAAACTAATAATTCTTACAGAAAGTGCGTGGTACCATTTCAAAACCCTAGTCATAATGAGGCAGTTCCCTAGAACTTGGGGAAACTCTGGCCAAGGCAGGTAGATTTCAGAAAATGAAAGAACCTTTCCGTCTGCATAGCGTCAGAACACCTGACACCCGACTTTGAACTCTGCCGAGTTTGATCTCTTACTAGAGTCTCTTTCAAATGGGCCATCTTTGGGCAGGATTCGCGGCGCTATATCTAGCCCTATGCAAAGGCCAATGGAGTCCACAGCGTCGTAGGCTGCTGGTAGAACCTGCGGAATCACAGCTGACAGCTGTCATGTTGCTTGCATGGTCATACATAGATGCGCTCTGTACAGCCGCCACAGCATCAGGGGATACTTGAACCCACAGGGGCCACAACCTGCGCCCTGTAGTCTTCGTTGTCTCAGTTGAGCCATTTACAACTGGCAGTAGATTCATCTGTGTCAGAGTTGCGCCCTGTATAGCTGATAGTACAGCCCCCTGGCCGCCATCAGCTGTCTGTGGGTGCCCGTCTCGGCCACCCTGCCCCGGTGCAGCACAGCGATACAGTCGGCTCCCTGTACGGCGCTCAGTCGGTGCGCCACCACCACACAGGTTCGTCCGCGGCCGGCCGAGTCGAGCGCCGACTGTACGCAGCGCTCGCTCTGCGCGTCCAGGGCAGAGGTGGCCTCGTCCAGCAGGAGGACGGCCGGCCGGCGGAGCAGGGCGCGCGCGATCGCCACGCGCTGCTTCTGGCCGCCAGAGAGCTGACGAAAGGGGGCGGGGGGGGGGGGGAGTCAGTCAGTTCAGTGTTCAGAGGATGGGGCGGGCAGAAAGGAATGGCACATCCACCTGACGGATGGATGTAATTTCTAAGAGCCAGAACATTACACCAGCATCAGATTTTTATCAACGGGCGCAAGTAACACGAGGAACAACACTGATCTCGAATTTCGACCCTCATCCCGTGTACCCCGCCCATCGAACCTGAGTGCTGGGGGAGGCCCCCAGCCGTGTCTCGTACCCCCCCCCCCCCGTCACCTATAAATATAACTCCCTTACCTGTGTACTAGAGGAGACCCCCAGCCGGGTCTCGTATCCCGCCGGCAGCGCAGTGATGAAGTCGTGCAGGTTGGCCGCCCGGGCCGCCTCGATTATCTCACCCATAGCCACCTCCCGGCTGCGGCAGAGCAACATGAACAGACAGTGTCAGAGATACGTCTAGAGGTGAGGCGAGCATTGGACAGCACAGGTATGAAGACAACTATTTCAAAGGAAAGGTAAGACTATAAAGTAACGCTATTAATGCTATGATTTATACCATTAATACCAGCGGAATAGCATAACACGGCCCAATACTCTTATTCCTCTGAGCGGAACTCGTATAGTCCGATCGTCACACGACGGCAGAAACCATTCGATTCAGTTTTAGTGTAACTCTGGAGGGATTCAATGGTAGGGACCAAGTGACTCCGAAGGTACCCACGGTAGAAGACTGAAACTCTGTGCGACTCTTGTGACTGAGTGTAACAGTGCGACAAACTAGTAGTTGGGCGTGACCCAATGATTGTCCGCTGACCTGTTGTCTCCATATGCGATGTTCTCGGCGATGGTGCGGTCAAACAGCTCCGGCTGCTGAGCCACCAGAGCCAGGTGGGAGCGGAGCCACGGCACGTTCAGAGAGCCCAGCTCGTGGCCGTCCAGGGTCTGAGGGGGGGGGGGGGGGGTTGATACTCATGTGACAGGGGAGAGCGGAGCCAGGGCACGTTCAGAGAGCCCAGCTCGTGGCCGTCCAGGGTCTGTGGTATAGGGGGGGGGGGGGGTGAGAGAGACCACGGCACGTTCAGGGAGCCGAGTTCGTGACCGTCCAGGGTCTGTGGTATAGAGGGGGGAGGGGTGAGAGCGGGGGACGTTCAGAGAGCCCAGCTCGTGGCCGTCCAGCGTCTGTGGTATAGAGGGGAGCACGGGAGGGGTGAGCGGAGCCACGGCACGTTCAGGGAGCCCAGCTCGTGGCCGTCCAGGGTCTGAGACATACGCGGGACACGGGACTGGTAAGAGCAGGCGCCAGCGGCGGACGAAAGATAGACGAGACCGCAGCTGCATAATCAGCTAAATTCTACAAACTAAAGGATTCATCTTCGTCTTCATCTTATCTTCATAGGTATAAACGAACGAAAGGATGGACTCATGAACTGTGAGTGGCGAGTACTATCGTCAAACGTCTGTGTATCCCAATTGAATCCCTCATAATCCCAGCCGAGCAGACACAACTCACCACGGCGCCCGAGTCGGGCTCGTAGAACCGCAGCAGCAGCTGCAGCACGGTCGACTTGCCGCAGCCCGAGGCGCCCACTAGCGCCACGGTGCGGCCCGGCGGGAAGCTGAAGTTCATATTTCGGAGCACAGGTGCCGCTGGCCGGGACGGGTAGCTGAAGGTGACATCTTGTACGGCCATTTGACCGTCAACGTGCGGCTGGAACAAGACAGCGGACGTGAAATCAGTGCTGGTAAGTGCTTACAGTGTTTAATGGGTTCAATGTGTGCTCTACTTTCAACAATGTATAAAAAAAAAACACTAAAAGCAGCTGTAAATCTATCTTTAGCGATGTCGAACCAATCGACCACGCAGTTCAAAATAATTTGTAGCACTAGCACTGCTAATTAATAATTCCCAGTTAACAATCTAGCTAACGAAACTTCATTTCCATATCTAATCCATTACAAAGGTCTCATCTATCCCATTAACCAACCACCCAAGAACCGACTCTCAAGTCTCACTTCCCGGCTTCAGCTCACCAGTTTGAGTCCGGCACTGGGCGACGCCTCGATGGCAGTTTTCCGGTCCAGCAGGGCAAACACCCGGGCCGCTGACAGCTTGGCGTTCTGGAAACTGGGCGCGAACGCCACCGCCTGGCCGACCATCATCGTACCGAGGATCAGCGACTCACCGACTCTGGGGGATGGGGGAACAGTCAGTACAGAGACTCACCCACCCTGGGGAGGGCGAGGGTGTGGGGGGGGTGGTGGGGGGGGGCAGTCAGTATTAGCGACTCACCCATCCTGATAAAGAATGGAATATGGTCATATTGGTCAGTGTGCGACACGGGGAAATTAACACGGATCGCATTCTGCTGATTGTCAATCTTTTCTTAGCTTCGTATAAAGAACTGACATTATCCAATCATCTGAACAGGCTGCTGGTATTTTTATCTTGTGCAACATTATGTGCAATATTGCATCATGCAGCTCGGATCTGAAATGCCAGTCTGTAACCAGCGGCGACTCACTTGAAGACGTTTTGGAAGGGCAGCTCTCCGTCACCCACCAGCCGGCCGCCGTAGCCCATGGTGGCAGCGTACGCGAAAAACGGCACCGCGTTGGCGAACCCGAACGCCAGTCCTGGCCGGGAGATACAGAGACAAGTCAGCTCATATACAGACGGTACCAGCATGTTCATAGGCGGTTTGTTAGCTGTTTTAAGACCTTTCCGCCAGATCAGCCTAACACATCCCTTGGGGGTTGAACACATCACCAATTAGCTGCAACCGATCCATGATGAACGACCTATTCCTTTCTACAGGCCCTTCCTCCGAATATCTCTTTCCTCCCAGTTACCATTATACCTTCAGCAGCTCCCGATCCCCACAGTCCCATCCCTCCAGCATCTCAATCAAAAACCACTCCATCCCATTACCCAGTCTTCCCTTCCTCCCCCGACGCTCCCTTCCGTCCAACCGACCCACCTCTGATGACCGATATCCGGTAGTAGACTCCAAACGCCTTCTCCAGAGTGTCCACGTACTGGGAGTGCAGCGTGCGCTCCAGGCGCAGTGCTGCCACCGTGCGGATATTGCGCAAAGCTTCGACCACCGTCTGCCGCCGCCAGGGGTCAGTCAGTGTCACGACGGACAGACGAATGAAGGCAGTAGGCACGAATGGAGGCTGCTGGCTGGTAGAAGGGTATGGAAAAAGAAGGATGAGAGAGGAAGACATGTTTGTCTCTGTGCTTATAGAATGGATGTTGGAATTTCGCGATGTTTTGGAGCAGCACCATGCCACGACCGTCTAGTACACACATGCATGGTGTGGCGTGAAATTAAACGGCACCGGAAAATGTCAATTTAAGTTAGCACATCGCACGCCATTAACTCGTCTCCTAGCAAACATGTCATGTGTGACCCATACACTGAAAGAGCAAGTAAGACGGATACTGGTACCCGCGGTTTGATAAAAAATGGTCATACTTCACCAGAGTGCCATGAAAGTGGGTGAGTGATCAGTGAATGAAGGTAGCTCGTGCAGCGGATACGTAAGTTCAGGGACGAAGGCGTGCAACACCATGCAATCATATCAAAAGTAAGATATAGCACCATGCAATCATGTAATAGCATGCCAACTTCTGCAAAATGAAGATATTCCAGAGAAAGGGAAGATAAACATCACATTACTATATGATAGATATCAAGCTAAAAGAGAGGAGTGCATACACAGCATGACCGTATAAGTTAGAATGTAACAGCGTACCACCCGTGCACAGTCCCACCACCGACCTTCATCTCTCTCCAGTGCGTTCAGTGCATGCCGGGCCCGGCTCCTGCGGTGTGGCGGGGTCAGCTGTATCATCGACGAATAGAAAACGTAGAACTTGTCCACAGTGTAGAAATATTCAACACAATGGACGAAATGCCACGTTTAAACAGGTAACTGACACAGAACAACACGACATACAATACGATTCAAGTTTCGATTTTCGGATATTACGATACGGCTTTCCAGACTCACGTCACTCAGCAACTGAGACGAATACCACAAACTGGTCATGAAAACCGCCTCTTTTTTCATCCCACTTCGACTCCCCCCCCACACACACACTGACACACACACTCACCCCACTGCCACTATCTACAGCAGCCATCTGGGTGAGCTGCTGTCCGGTGGTGAGCGCCGTCTGCAGCTACCCCCCCCCCCCCCTGAGACACACACACTTACCCCACTGCCACTATCTACAGCGGCCATCTGCGTCAGCTGCTGTCCGGTGGTGAGCGCCGTCTGCACTTATCCCCCCCCACTCCCCCTCCCCCACTCACCCCACTGCCACTATCTACAGCGGCCATCTGGGTGAGCTGCTGTCCGGTGGTGAGCGCCGTCTGTAGGTAGCAGGCTACCAGTACCAGCGGCACAAACGGCGCCAGTACCAGCGCCAGCCGCCAGCTCAGGTAGGCGGCCACCGTGACAGAGAAGGCCAGCGTGGAGACCGCCTGCGCCACCGTGCCCAGACGCGGACCGCACGCCTAAGGGGAGGGAAGGGGGGTCAGAGGGTACAGAGGGGGACCACATGCGGGGAGGAAAGAAGAGAAGAGATGATCGGCCTCAGGACAAGACGCCTACCTGGGGACTGGGGAGGGGAGCGTGAGGGGTTATCAGCTGCGAGCGCATCAATCAATATTGGTGCTTTCTCAGACAAAATGGCATTACTTAGGAACCAAATCAAGTTATCATTTGTTTTGAAACGTTATAATCAGTTCAAACGATATCGTTACAACAAGAACAGCTCATGATAATTATCAGACATGACTACCGACTTTTCCGCCAAGACCCCAAGCCCTTTCAATTTCGTCCTTGTTCATCCATTCCCACAACCCTAGCCTTCATCCTCTACTCTGCCACTCTGTCTGCCACTTACCTGCGGCGCGGCGGGGTCCCCTCTGAGCCCCTCTGCCCCTTTCCTCCCCCTAGCATCGGCTACCACCACTCACCCCGTGAATGTTGGACGAATCGGTGGCCAGACGGGAGCACAGTGCGCCCACCGAGTTAACCGGGTCGTCAAAGAAGGCCATCTCCTGGCGTAATATGGCAGCCATGGTGAGGCGCCGCAGCCGGGCGGTCAGACGCAGGCCGGCGATACCGAACATGGCGCTCTGCGGGGTCAGACGAGGTCACAAAGAGGTCAGTGGAGGTCATAGGAGGTCAGCAGAGGTCAGCATGGGTCAGGAAAAGTCAGGAGGTCAAATGGAAGAATCCAGAGCGGGAGCAGTCGTGACTCGCGCGGAATACGAATGTGCCGCGTTCAGGTTCGGTCCCAGTTCAGTGTGACACTGTGACAGTCCGACAGACGATTCAATTATGTAATTTGGGGATGGATGAGGGTGATGCTAAATCACATAAAGCAATCACTGGTTGGGACAAAACAACGTTGATGACCAAAGAGACGCGGATCAGAAAATGAAGGTGTAACGCCCGGCAATGACGTGCCACACGAAAACGTCCGACCCTGGCAGGACTCGAACCTGCAATCTTCGGATCCGGAATCCGACGCCTTATCCATTAGGCCACAGGGCCACGAACAATATCGTGCTCCATACCTGGAGAAACATAGCTGTGCCGAGTCCCAGGCCGACCATTAGGAAGACCACTGAGTAGAAGTCGGCCTTTTCTTGTGCCAGTTGCCGATCGGACTCTGCCAGATTCTGCAAACAGTACAGGCTGGGTTAAATAGTAGTTCAGACTCCAGGCGGGTCTCCACCATTGTCTCTAAAGCAGTATGCATCTACCGATGATAAAATGAACATAAATGGAAACTAAGAAATTTTCAAATAAACCACTGCAGCATGAATAAGAAAATCATATAAATCGTTGAATGAAGAAGTCTATAAACTAACCATTTGGTATAACTCCAATCGGGTGCAAAAAATCACATCTGATCATACCATCTTTTCATATCAGGTCCAAGCCTCAAGGCGACGTCGTAGCTCTTGCATAATAGGTACCTACACAAATCACGACTTTACAGTCTACCTAATTCACCTTCCACTTCGCCCTCACTCACCGCCAGCACGTCTCCGAAGAACAGGGCGTAGACGGGGATGGCGCAGCCGCAGACTGCCGAGGCCAGCACTCCGAGCAGGACGAACGGCCACTCGGGCCCGCTGAGACGGACCAGACGCCACATCGAAACGGCTGGGTACACGGGCTCGCCCTCGGCGGGGACCGCCACCTGAGGAAGGAGGAGGGGGGTTAGAGCAGACTAGAGACCGGCGGGTACACGGGCTCGCCCTCGGCGGGAACAGCCACCTGAGGAGAGGGGGGAGGGGGTTAGAGCAGAGAGACGGCCGGGTACACGGGCTCGCCCTCGGCGGGAACAGCCACCTGAGGGAGGGGTGGTGGGGGGTTAGAGCAGAGAGACCGCTGGGTACACGGGCTCGCCCTCGGCGGGGACCGCCACCTGGGGGAGAGGGGGGAGGTTAGAACACAGACAGTGGGGTAGACTGAATGGCCTTTGAATGGTACGGCAGCTCCGGAAAGTGGCGCAATTGGAATAGAAAAGAATATAGAACGGTAAATACAAATAGAACGGTAAAACTGAGTGTAAGACAGATAAGTCTAGCCAGGGGTCAGAAACGGGTAACGCTATCACCGATCACGTGAAAGCCAAGTTCCGTCACAAGAGCGCCCGTCCCTGACACTCTCCGGCGGGCCTCCTCTACCACCCTCCCCCTCTACCCTCCCCCTCTACTCACACTCCGTCTCCTCAGTGACCGTCTCCGGACGGAGCCATGGGCCCGTCCGAGTCACCCCCCCCCCTCCTCCCCTCTACTCACACTCCGTCTCCGCAGTGACCTCCTCCGCACTGAGCCGTGGGCCCGTCCGAGTCCAGTAGCGGCCACCTGGCCCACCACCTCTGCTAGACTGGCCGGCTGCTCGTCCTCGGCCGGCTCAGAACTGATGGAGACGGTGCGGCTGGCCGGCCGGCGGCGGCGGCGCGGCGGCTCCGGCGAGTAGCCGCCCCCGCCCCCGCCCCCGCCGCCGCCGCCGCCGCCCGGGGACCACACCGGGTCCACGCCGTCCGGTGGAGCTGAAAGAGGGGAGAATGAGAGAATAAACGTGAGGGATTTGAACGTTGAACGCGAATTGAGCGTGGTATATGAATGGAGTGGGCCCCAATTATGGCACGGCCATTTACGACTACGATGCCCGGCGTCAAGCGATTGCACACTTCAATACAAGTTCGATGGCCCGCAAGCAATGACAGGGAAACAAATCATTCGTGATCGAGAGCCGTAAACGACATTCAGTTCATTCAATTTCCATGCAACAACGAAATTAAAAAGCCAGTATTCAGGTCACACGACGCAAAAATACCGTTAATTGGCTGCAATAAGACGCATACGTAAAATGGACGTTTGCGATGAAGAAACCCTATTTGTAACGATCGTAGTGAATCGTTTATAGCGTGAGTGGACAACTCACAGTTCAAAACTCACAACTCACAGCGAGTATTGAGGGTCAGTCACATCATCCCTCTCTAACCTGTAGCGTCGTCGGCCAGGGCCTGCGCGCTGACCAGCCGGTGGTAGAGTCCCCGTCGGTCCATCAGCTGCTGGTGGGAGCCGCGCTCTGCCACCCGGCCCTCCCGCAGCACCACGATCGAGTCGGCGGCGCGCACCGTGGACAGGCGGTGCGCCACCACCAGCGTGGTGCGGCCCGAACGCTCCTGGGGGAACGGGGGATGTCAGACGGGACAAACACAGGACAATCAAAGGATAGACACATGGCCCTTAAAAGCCGGGGCTGGGCTAAGGTTACGAAAATTGCAATATGTTTTCTATATGCATTCAAAAAAGGCACGCAACAGTTATATCAAAAGTATCTCACGCTAGTGCAATACATATCACAAGTCGTTCCCAGAAACACCGGTGTACCCACTGTCAGTTTCCCTCTCCAACAGCTACCTCCTATCCTCCCAATCTGATCTTCCTTCTCTACGCCCTCTCCCTACCCGCTACATCCGTAAACCTGTCCCCGCTCCCACCTCAGCCAGTGCGGTGAGCAGTCGCGCCTCTGTGGCCGTATCCAGTGCCGACGTGGCCTCATCCAGTAGCAGCACGGCCGGGTCGGCCAGCAGCGCGCGCGCCAGCGCCACCCTCTGGCGCTGGCCGCCCGACAGCTGGCCGCCGCGCCCGCCCACCGTCGTGTCCAGCCCGGCCGGCAGGGCGCTGATGAACGGCCACGCCTGGGCGGTGCGGGCCGCCCGCTCCAGCTCGGCCTCCGAACAGCCCGGACGGCCTGGGAGGCAGCGGGGAGCAGGCGGGAATGTGAGAGAAGGTGGACTTGGGATTTGGTGGGATATATACCCGACTAGACTACCCGAAGGGGAACATGTGAGCATAATGTGTCAAGATAAACCAAACAAAATGATAGTATCATAAATATTTCATAAAACGAACACTGAATATGCAGCTGGTCAATCGGCAAGCTATGCCCAACCTAGCCAATCATCAATCTGACCAAAGCACCCTCAAACAACTTATGTTGGCTATAATCTCCACTGATATTCATGCCTATCGTCCTGCCCCAGGACATGGTCCTCTACCTCCTTCACCCAGTCTGTCCGCTCACTGCGGACGTCCCGCTCACTGCAGGCGACCCGCCCTCTCACCGTATCTGATGTTCTCCCGGATGGAGACGGGGAACAGGACGGGCTCCTGGGACACGACGGCTAGCTGACCGCGCAGCCACGAGACGCGCAGGTCACTGACCCGCCGACCGTCCAACAGAACCTAAATGTAAGGGGAGGGGGTCAGTGGGGATGACCGCGCAGCCACGAGACGCGCAGGTCACTGACCCGCCGACCGTCCAACAGAACCTAAATGTAAGGGGGGGGGGGGAGGAGGGTTAGTGAGAGATGGTGGGAGACGAGAGCTGGGAAATTGGGGAGGTGGGAGAGGGAAGAGTGGACGTTGGTAAGCGAGAGACGGGGGACGCAGGTAAAGAAGACGTCCATGGAGATGAATAAGGAGACCGGGAATGATGAGACAGCGAGAGAGGGAAGACTAGAGTCAGAAAAAGAGAGATAGGACTAGGAGACGGACGAGATGCGGAGATGCAACGATTGCAGAAAATAGAATGACAGTTTATGTTCAATGATAATGCCGTGTCGTTAAATCGCGAACGAAACTGCATATCGAGTGACACACCTAAAACACAAAACAAAACTAGCATCGGTCAACGATCAACACGCTTTCCTGCATGTGCTTTCCGTGGTTACCTGTCCGTGCTAGGGGTCGTACAGTCTCAGTCCTCACGTCCTGTCCGTGGCCAGGGTCGTACAGTCTCAGCTGTCCGTGGCCGTACAGTCGTACAGTCTCACCTGTCCGTGGTCGGGGTTGTACAGTCTCTATCCTCACCTGTCCGTGGTCGGGGTCGTACAGTCTCTATCCTCACCTGTCCGTGGCCGTACAGTCGTACAGTCTCACCTGTCCGTGGCCGTACAGTCTCTCTCCTCACCTGTCCGTGGTCGTACAGTCGTACAGTCTCACCTGCCCGTGGTCTGGGTCGTACAGTCTCACCTGTCCGTGATCGTACAGTCTCTATCCTCACCTGTCCGTGGTCGGGGTCGTACAGTCTCTGCAGCAGCTGAACACAGGTGGATTTGCCGCAGCCGGACGGCCCGACCAGCGCCACAGTCTGGCCGGCCGGGATGGTTAGATTCAGACTGTCCAACACCTGGGGGGGACGGGAGTTATAGTGTCAAACAGTGTATGATGCTGAGAATGTCTTTTTTATTTATCCATGTTTCCTGGGAGCAGATACGGGAGAGACGTTGGCGAAAAAAGACGATACTGCTGCATCCTGCACCAAAAGTCACAAATACCAACATCTTTGAGCTGACTATCAAGGCACAATGGCATGCCTGCGCAGCCGACCGAGTCAGGGATGACATGCAAAACTCCACTCATTCCGGACGGAAGTCGTGTAACCGGTCAAAACGACCAGTCACGTCCCGTAACGTCACTTGTATCATTGTCCAGCGTCACCACAGAACATTACCGTCCGTCACGACAGGATATAACTCCCCGCCATGACCGGCCAATAGTGACCAAGACCGTGGGAGTCCTGAGCAGCGCACTGCACGACCTTTCCCTCACCAGTTCCACATCCACCAGCAAGAACACTAGCCAACCCACATCAGCTGACAGGCTGAAGCACCAGCCCAGAGACCCCAACATACACACGTCAACAGTCGAGTCGACAAAGGACATACACCGCACGTAACCGACCTGACCTTCCCCGACCGATCCGTAAGCTTGGTCATCCCTGCTTACTACTGACCTCTCCGAATCGATCAGTGATCACTGTCCTCTGTCATATCCACCGGGCTGCCCAGCCTCCCCACTCCCTCCCCTGCCCTCACCTGAACGTCCGGCCGGCTGGGGTAGCTAAAGCGCACGTCGCGGAACTCGAGTCTCCCGGCCACCGTCGGCGGCGTCTCACCCGACTCACCCAGAGGGTCAATCTGGGAGCGGCGCTCTGTCGACGGAGGGAGGCCGGGTCAGATATGGGTGATTGCTGGGTATTATAAGATGCTAGCAGGATGAACGATTGAAGAGTGTTATGTTGGTGCCTTTTATCAAAGCGTTCACGAGCTTCTGAGGGACGTTTCAAGAGTTTTACGAGTTCGCTTTATGAGTGCACAATGAGAGATGTACTAAAAATCGAGAACGAACAATGTCTAAAAAGTTATTTAAGTGATCAGTACCCACAAACCACAAACTGGAAGGGTCAAATCGCAACAACTGACCGTCGTTTGGCCGTCTCATTAACTTCCAGCGACTAAGAACGACTGACCTATGACGGCGAATATGGAGGCGGCCGCGCCGCGCGCCTCGCTGAACGAGGAGAGGTGCAGCGCTGACTGTCCCAGCTGGATGGCGCCCATCACCACACTGAAAAATACCTGCGGACGGGGACACCACGGGAGATGGACGTCAGAAACATCCTGATATCAGTCACACGGTCATAGCCGCTACATTGGCCTCTTGGAAGGCACATATAGCAGATGCAGTAAATATAAAACGAAAACATAGCAGATCTCTGTTATTTCACAGCTCACATACTCGATGGCATGAAATAATCAAATATGTCGGCACTCGGCAGCGCTTGTCTCACGCCAGGACGTTTCAAATTATTCCTGCTCACTTGATCTGCAATGACTCGGCATCCGACAGTCAGCAGCAACAACTAATCAAAGTTAACTTATCCTGACTTCACCGGTACTCCAGAACCAGAACGGAGTCGTACAGTCGGCGTCGTGCCACGTACTCACTATGGTCGACGGTCGTACCCAGTACTCACTAGTCACTATGGTCAGGGCGGGGTCGTATTACCTGGGCGGTGTCGTACAGTCGCTGTCGTACCCAGTACTCATTATGGTCTGGGCGGGGTCGTATAACTCCCCATCCAGTACCATGGCAGTGTCGTACATGCGGTGTCATACTCAGCACTCACTATTGTCGTAATCGGTGTCCAGGGCCTCGTTTCATAAAGCGAGTCCGTAAATTACGCCGGTTTTTGGGCTTGTATTGCAAGCGCATGTAAAGCGATAAATTTATTTCCCCTTCTCTCTTCTGTTCTTGCTTGCAAGATAAATAAATTCAACGATTCAAACTATCGTCATCGCTTCACATGCACTTGCAACACAAGACCAAAAACCGGCGTAAGTTACGGACTCGCTTTATGAAACGGAGCCCATTACTCACTATGGTCAGCGAGGCGGGGTCGTACTCCCCGTCCAGTATCAGGACCGTGTCGTACAGTCAGTGTCGTACTCACTATTGTCAGCGACGCGGGGTCGTACTCCCCGTCCAGTATCAGGACCGTGCCGTACAGTCGGTGTCGTACTCACTATGGTCAGCGACGCGGGGTCGTACTCCCCGTCCAGTATCAGGGCCGTGCCGTACAGTCAGTGTCGTACTCACTATGGTCAGCGACGCGGGGTCGTACTCGCCGTCCAGTACCAGGGCCGTGCCGTACCAGAACGCCAGCGAGTAGCAGGCGAACACCACACACCAGGCCAGACCGGCACCGAGGCCCGTCAGCGCAGAGTTCAGCAGCCACCAGCGGCGGGCGGCCAGCAGACACCCAGAGTACCTACAGGTCACAGGTCACAGGTCATAGGTCAGAGGTCACACCAGCGGAGGGCGGCCAGCAGGCACCCAAAGTACCTACAGGTCACAGGTCACAGGTCATAGGTCAGAGGTCACAGCCACCAGCGGCAGGCGGCCAGAAGACACCCAGAGTACCTACAGGTCACAGGTCACAGGTCACAGGTCATAGGTCAGAGGTCAGAGGTCACAGCCACCAGCGGCGGGCGGCCAGAAGACACCCAGAGTACCTACAGGTCACAGGTCACAGGTCAGAGGTCACACCAGCGGCGCGCGGCCAGCAGACACCCAGAGTACCTACGGGGCACAGGTCACAGATCATAGGTCAGAGGTCACAGCCACCAGCGGCGGGCGGCCAGCAGACACCCAGAGTACCTGCAGGTCACAGGTCAAAGGTCAGGTCACAGAGGTTAGAGCCACCAGCGGCGGGCGGCCAGCAGACAACCAGAGTACCTACAGGTCCGAAATCAAAGGACAGAGATTACATGCAAGACATAACAATCCAATATGTCGACCACTGACCACATTAGCACTTCCACTGTTATCTCACCATTCCACGTATCTAGTCCTCCGTCATTCCTCACCTGTCCACCTCCTTTTGCTGTCCACCGAAGGCCACCACTGTGCGGATGGCCGATATGATCTCGGCGGCCACGTCTCCCGCTCGGCTGTAGCCGGCCGTCGCCCGCTGCATCAGCGTCGACTGGGCCTGGACGGTAAAACAGGGGGAGGGGGTCACATCGGGTTAGGGAGGGGGTGGGTTGGTAAGCTGGTGAGTGGATGGGCGGATGACGAAAAAAATGAGACAAACTGATAGTTGTTGAGGTTTTTATCAGCACGTTTTATACAACGATATAATTATGCAGTCTTTTCGTCGTTTCCTATCGCTCATATTAGGTTATAACTCTCAGCCGCCGTTGAGTTATCTTGTATCTCAGCATTTCAACTCACGATCGCTTTTACGATCAAGTTGAGGTAAAATTCACGTTAATTTTAGTTCGTATGTATATAATCGATTCGCATGTTATAAAACATGAATAGCGGTTTACGCAACTGAATCGCTAACCAAACAGCGGCAACATCCACTGCCGATTTCACATCACTACAACTGCTTACCCCAATCTCAAATACATGTCAGCCCAGCGACACCTATTCCCCACATGCCGTCCGTACCTTTGCGATGGCGGCCAGTATGGCCACCAGGACGGGTACGGCCGTCAGGATGACCAGCGTCAGCCTCCAGCCGTGGTAGAAGGCGTTACACATCGAGATGACGAACACCGACACCATGAACACAAAGATGCCCAGCTTGTCGTCAATGCCCGCCTGCACCTTGGCCAGGTCTCTGTCGGAAGGACGGAGGAGGGGTCGTTCGTTAGGACAGACCAGTGGAGCAAGTTGTAACTCGATCATGATCATGTTGTTGGCACTTAGCTGCATGAAGCATTATAAGGGTTGTTACTGTTAGCAATGTTACTCAACATTCAGCACACCAACTTGTTGCTAATTTCTACGACTATCATGCAAACTTATGTGTCACATCACACTAAAATTGATCCTTAAAAATCAAACTTTTTATGGAAGGCATTGTCCAAAGTTCTAGAGACTGTACAAATTGAACGATACGATTTCCGCCACCGACTGGGTCATCTGCACTCACTCTGTAGCCCTGGTGGCGAAGTCTCCGGCGCCGTTAGTCTCGAACCAGCTGATCTCCTGTCTCAGTACTGCCTGCAGGAACAGCCCTCGGATCCGCTTCACCTGAGGATGGGCGGACGGAATTGGTCAAGGGCGGAGCGGGGACGGGTCGGAGACAGTATCGAAGGACTGTCAGCGACCCTAAGTGCATTATCACGCATTGAAAGAACGACAGCCCGTCATCACACAGCTTTCTAGCATAACACGGGCTCTGGCGCCAACTGGTGAATGCCACTTAAATCTATTCAGATTTGCGTGACTTCTATCTATAGCTCCACTGATCTTGCTAACCAATTCAATTGCATAGCCACGTGAAGCAGAATGACAAGACACAGGCATCTAACGCTGAATAAACTTATTGACACCACCACCCTCCATCGACTTACTTGTCTGGCCGACGAAAAGTCCAGGCAGAACACGAACAGGGCCCCGAAGGTCGCCTGTAATGAGCCGGCCACGCAGCTGCCGACCAGAAACACCCACACGTGCTGGGAGAACGTCTCCGGCGCGGCGCCGTCCGGCACCAGCAGCTCCAGCGGACGGGACCTGGCCGGCCAGGCAGTCAGTCAGATACGGTGGGAGGGTCAGAGCGAAATCGGGTAGGGGAAGCGAGTGGGTCAGATACACACTCTGATACAGACGAATGGGTTAGGGTGATTAAAAAACACAGAAAAAAATGATAAACGAATCGGGTATGAACGCACTTTAGACGAAACCGAACGGCTCTCCAGTCTCCAAGGACACGACTGACGACGAGCATTGAGCTGATAGTGGTTTAATTGAAAGGTGGGATGAATCCCGAGAAAAGTGAAATGTCATCGGGGGGAGTGTCAGCCCGGGATTCTCTTCCACACCCACTCTGAGTATCTCTACTAACACCGTGCGGTTGGAAAGGGCCTCCGGTGCCGTGTCGTTTAGCGCCGCCGCCGCGTGGAAGCCGACAAACGCGTTCGTGAGAAGGCCGAGTAGAACCACCATGGCTGGCAGACAGATCGACGAGAGGACGGCACACACCAGACCGCCCGCCACCAGCGCGCGGTCGGTGCGGTCAGCGTACCGAAACTGGCGATGGAAGATTACAGGGTAAAGTGATATGCTAGGGGGGACAGAACATGAGCCGTCAATGCAGGGACTTTTTACTACCACTAACTAATGAATAGTGATGCTGGGTGCTATTAGCATCACATTTTCATGGACACGTGTTAGAACTGACAGCCATGGTCACATTATTGAAATGATGAATGACAAACAATGAAAATCTTTGGGAGTTGCTGTTGTTAAACACGGCATGTCAAAGAATAAAAAGCATTAGAACGCCTTCATTTCAATTTACATTTTGTAAATTAAGGTTCATAGTTCATAGCTTCATAAACACATATTTCTGCAGTTTATGTTAAAATAATAAAAGGTATCTATCTTACCAGTTGCCAGTATGCCACTGGTGGGGGTGCATCATTTTTTGGACTTTTACTTATCCTGAAAATTAGTAGAAAAGGTTAGCCAGCAGGAATGTTGTATCACTCACACATGACACTGGCATATTATATGCCAGTCAACATGCATCACAGACAAATATGTATGTATCCCTGCATCAGATAGAATTAATGACACAGACAGAGTTTCAAGTCCATTACATGATGGTCCTCAAAATTCTATTAAATTAGCTCAAAATTAGAAATACCACAGCTTGAAAAAGGTTACCAGTGATACTCACTCTTTCAGCTCCAAGCCCTCTGCATCACAAACAGTATCATGCTTTGCTAGGCCAGCAAAGGATTTTATGCTTCCATTTTCATTCACTGTGTCTTCTTCCCTGGGTGCCATTTTGACAAGCCAAAGCGGTGCCTTTTGCTCTACGATCCAATACCAGGCACCTTATTCATTCAAAGAATAAGGACCTGTAACAAAAACAAATAGTAGTAGTGCCACTTTAAACATCAAGGAAGAAATGTTATTTAAAACACACTAAGACTCAGTGGGTAGAGTTAGACCATACTGATACAAATCCATGTCTCCCAACTCCCAAGTCCCAAGCTCAGCAGCAAAACCGTTCAACCGCGCCATAACAATAATCAATATTCAGTCAAAGGTTTACTACTCACAGCATTGGTTCATCACGACCTTGGCAGTGTGGGTGATATTGGGCAATCACCACAATATCTTCCCATGGTGTTTCAGAGCGAGACACATTCACCTCATCCCTTGAGCATGCCTTCTAAAACTGGCACACGAACCCGTTATGTTTACGAAATTAGAAAGTTTTAACTGTCCCAGCTGCGCTGAAAGTGCCGCAAAATACAATGCTTTATTTCTCAATAAAGCAAATATGTAAATTGACCGTTATTAATGGCAAATTTTGATTTCAAAATAGTAAATGGAATAATTAAAGTTAATTGAATGAATATGTGATGAAAGTCAAAACAGTGTTTGCAAAATCAGTAGAAAAGATAAAGAAAAATGAATTATTTATAAACTTGGGAACGCTTCTGCTAGCTGGCTTATGACCTTGAAACTTTCGAAATGTGTATGTTTGGCAAGATTACTTTACTATGTTTGGTAATGGTTGGTAAAATTAGTTATATTTGTGTTTTATTTAGTCAGGGGTCGAGTCAGGGTGCATGGTCTTCAATGGCTGTGGGCTGCCAATCGCCATAATACTTTGATTGGAACTTTGCTCTTTCCTTGTTGCACGAAATTTTAATAATACGGAGACTGAGACTAGCATCCAAACTCAAATTGTGGAATCTTATTTGCATAGAAATAAACTTATTTGGATATTTCATATTCGTAACGCCAGACTTTAATTTGAATTAATAAATCTAAACGGATCGGATTCCCTCAGATCCGTTCAGCGTTCATATAGTTTTGATTATCTGAATTGTGCGATCGATCTGCATAAAGACTTGTTGGACTAGACTAGCACTTCCTGATGATCTGATCCTGGATCCTGTTCCTGCGTGCGGCACGGAGCAATTCAGTTGGATTCAGTGGAATTGTTGCCGGTGTCTCATTGGCCGTGTCTCATGTTCGAGGTGGAGCCGAGAGGGGGGGGGGAGCGGGGGAGAGCTGGCGCGTGAAGGGATAGCGAGCGTTGGTTGCGTTGGACTAGTGGTTCGCAATAAATTTTCATTACTATTTGAAATTATGATCCAAAATAATTTAAGTGTTACAGTGAGGCTCGTTGCGTTGCAGAGGGAACCTGAATGAATATCACTTTTCAGGTTACGGGTGACATAGTGGTGCAGTTTTCAGCCGCTACCCACATCAGCACAGCGCGCACAGATGCCGGGCGGTCAGCAGTGCGTGCCGGTGCAGTTTTTCGCCGGCAGTCCGCGGCTACATAACCTGACCGCGCTGCTGGTCCTATTCGAGAAGCCGGGAGACGAGGCACCGGGCAAACAGGTGCTCAGGTGTAGGTAGGGAGTAGGGACGGCTCGGGGCTCGGGCAGCGACGGTCTGCGGCTCCGCGCTCGGTTTGTGTGCTGGGCAGTAGTCGGAGGGTAGTCGGGGTCAGTAGCTATACGTATATGTAGACTTGTAGAGTGTAGACCCTTGTTTTACGCGTTATTCAATTTCCAAATGCAGTATTGTGTGTACGTTTGAGCGTTTATAATGACTGTTCCGTCCGGTGTACGAAGCATTTTGTGAAGTTCCTGGCCGAGCGTTGCGTTTCCCTCTATTCAATTCAGTGTAGCTTGCAAAGCACTGGATGCATATGCTAGTAAAGTAATATTGGATGCCTATGCGGAGTAATGGCTTGTCATTGTCGCGATGGAATGCCCAATTATATTTAATGTCGTCACTTACTAGATCCACGTCCCTCCCATTGCTATACAAATGACACACCCGCCCTTGTCAGTGTGGCTAAATTCATTTTGCGTTAGGGGGAGGATGTAGAAAAGAACCTGTAGAGGATGTCATTGTTTTCACAAAACTTGACTATCATGGCATTTTAGGTGCTGTTTTTACAGGTATAACTAGAAAAAGATGTAGTCGTAGATAGAAATATTAAACACCGATAAAACTTTAAAAGCTTTCTGATGTTTGGGAATCGGGATGATAAAGACGAACTGTTAAAGTCTGGTCATATATTTGAACATTTTGGCTCAGATCATTGTTGTTTTAAGTCGTAAAGATGTTATTATTTATATTTTAGGATGTCATTTTACTTTTGATTATGGGTGAATTTCCCCGCAACATTACAATTTTGGACATACTGGCCCCTGTCGTTCCCAGGGAGCTGATTTTCCGGTGCCCGGTGGTGCTGGCCTCTCCCTCGGACGATGCAGAGGCGGTTCTGGTGGTGGTGCCGCGCGCGTTCAGCCTGTTCCCGACGCTGGCAGAGATGAGGGCCAGGGTAGGCGCGGCTGTATGTTTGTCTCGTATCAGTGGATACTGAGATGGTATCGCATTTGTCTCAGTATCTGTGTTATCTCAATACCTAGTCTGCGAGGTTCTGGTTAGCTAATATGAAGCCGTCACTGGCAGTCCTAACGGTACACGGGTCCAGTTCTGTTTATTGTTCTCATTCGGTTTTTTGCTTATAGGTGGATCGCTTTAACCAAATAACTTGATGCATCTAACATAACACGATTTGAAAAAGCGACATCAGTTGAATGTACTTGCATATGCAAGTCAAATTATGTACGTCTTTATGATGCATATTGTATGCTGCTGTCTAGCCAAGTTTCATAAATGTTTCATTCATCTGCAGTTTTACGTTCTTGACCCTCTATCCCATTCCCAGCACATTGTCCCTGATGCCGTCGGACCACCACTGACGGCGCCGGGCGCCGTGTGTGTCTGTGTTCTGCAGGTGCTGGGTGAGCGGCCGGCCGGGCCGGACGACTTTGCCTGCTGCCTGCGGTACACACTGCAGGCCAAGCTGGCGCCCCAGTGGAACGTGGTCGGTGAGCTGCTGCTGCAGGGACGCGACTTCCTCCAGGTCACCGGGCCCGTCAACGGGGTGCGGCTGCAGGTCAATGTCACAGGTCAGTGGCAGGTCACAGGTCACCGCCATAGGTCATTGTCACAGATCAGCTGTGGCAGGTTGCAGGTCACTGCCATAGGTCAGCGGCATGTCACAGGTCAGATCAGGTCACAGCTCAACGGCAGGTCATAGGTCAAAGCTCACCATAGGCCATATCTACATGGCTATTCATTCATCACTCATATTTCGACGCTGACAGTCACTTGTGGATTATGGAACACGTGCCAGATACTCCCTGTCGGCACGGGTCGCTCCTGGGCTAACCCTGCACTAATACCCGCACTGATGACGGTCGTACCATCACGGTTCACTGCATATAGCCGTCAGTTGACACATGCAACTGTCCAGGAGATTTACCGTCAACATACGTTATACGTAATCCGTTACCTATTAGTCACTTCTCCGATGACGTTTTATTTTAGCTCTGTTACATTACTTTGCATCGAAGAAACTGTCCCCGCAGTTTTACCTTTATTGTTCCTCTCGAAATCGTTCAAGTCTCGAAAACCTTCACCGAAACTAATCGGCAAGCCCCCCCCCCCTTCCACCTCCCTGCCGCCACCCTAACCGTTTCACTCTGCTCCGTAACCCGCGTCCTGCAAAACTCAACCCCTCTCCTCTTCCCCGTCCCTCAGAGGAGGACGTGTGTCTGAGCGCCCAGGCGTGTGTGGTGCGCCTGCCGCCGCTGCGGCTCTAACGCTCCCCTCCCCTCTCCTCCCGCATACATTCCTCAGAGGAGGACGTGTGTCTGAGCGCCCAGGCGTGTGTGGTGCGCCTGCCGCCGCTGCGCCTCTCCGATCTCGGGGCCTCACCGGTGGCGCTGGTCGACTTCAACGCCCGCCTTACTGACGTCATCAGCGAGAGTCAGCTGACCGGCCGCTGGTGTCACATCCTGCCCAGGTGAGGGGGGGGGGGGAGACTACTGGTGCCACATCCTGCCCAGGTGAGGGGATGACAGCCTGACAGGGCCCAGTGACTGGTGTGACATCCAAATTACTCGTCGGGGCTCGCCGAGGGCAGGCTGTCGGTGGCTGACTTCCTTTGAATGCCATGAAAATGCACTCCGCGAGTATTGAACGGCCGGCCTGGCGGGTTCCCGGTACACACTCTGGACTGAAAAGCTATAGGGCTGGCCATTATATTTACAACCCGGCCGCATGTAATCATCACCTTTCATTCACCCCATTTAAGCGTCCCTCTAGAATGCCGCGCCGGCCGTTTTAACAAAAGAGTGTACAACTGTTAGCGGTGACCACTGCGATCATAAAATTACTGCCGTAAATCAACAGCTTTCATTTGGAGTCCAGCTCGGTGGATAGTGGATGGGTTATGTGGTGACCCCGATCCGATGACCGTATTTTATTGCGCCGAGCTAATGGGCGGCACTCGGCGAGGTCCCACCGTCTCCACTTTGTCATCCTTCATCGATATGGGTGTCGTGCAGTGTGACCGTCGACACCCAGCGGTCCGCCGGGTGGCTGCTCCTCACGCCCGCTGAATTGGCACCCAACCAGTCGTTACTCTCGGGACGTGTCGGAGCGCCGGGTCCGGCGGTGCGTCACAGACAGATGGGCCCTCCACGCCCCATCCGTCTCAGCGCTGTCGGACCACGCCCATTTACCGACTGAGCTCGGAGGGGGGAAGGGGGAGGGAGGGGGATGTCTTCTACCCCGCTCCGCCAGGCGCTCTGCTAAGGATCCATGGAACATCGGCTTCCAAATCCACCTCTCGTCCTTCCATTGACAACTGCACCTCGTCATTGTCCTCTTTATCTCTTCATTTGTTTCCGTCTTTTCCCGACAGTTTTTGTTATATTACGCCTCATTTTTTTCCTTTTCCTGCCCTGTCCAGTGTCCACCCTTTACCGACTTCACCCCAAAATTTCTAGACTATGTCCCCCCGTCCCATACCAATCAGTCAACCGTCCGTCCTAGCAGACATGTGCATGGATCCGAGAAAATGGATCTGGGATCTGATCCCACGGATCCTGATCTCGGATCCTTCGGGATCATAGATCCAGCTCTTTAATTTATCGAGAGATCCGTAGGGATCATAGATCCGAGTCTAGTATTTTTGCTTGAGATCCAGTGGGATCATAGATCCTCATTTATTTTTGGTCAGCACAGAAATCCCAAAAGATCACTCGTTGCAACTCACAAACGTTCTTATTTAGTGTTTTTATGTGATAACACGTCATAGGTAATCCATAGTTTTATGGCACTTATTGACATAGAAACACTTGGAAACCTGGTTTCAAATGTTGTTCATGGTGGGATCCACTCAGATCATAGATCCATGCTTTTGGTTTATCGTCAGATCCTGTGAGATCATAGATCCCGGATAAAATTTTCACGCCGGATTCGGTGGGATCATAGATCCGAACCTACAATTTGCCTCGAGATCCACTGAGATCATAGATCCATCACTCGGATCCATGCACATGTCTGCGTCCTAGTTGTATCCTGTCCCTTCGCCTTCTCATTCCCGTCCCTTCCGTATCCTCCCCATTCTGACCTTGTCGTGTCCAGTCGCCAATCTCACTCAATCTTTTCCGACTTTGTTTCACTCCTTACCGAGCGGTGACCTTGCCACGACCGTCTCATACCCTCCCCTTTCGTGTTCCCATTTCGTGTTCCCGCCCCTACCCCCTCCATAAATCTAACCAGCCGCTGCCATGGGCGTTGATCAGTGTTCCACCCCAGCCCGCTCGTCGCTCCGCTCCGAACCGATCTCATCCGACGGCTCATCTAACTCCGGCAACTGGTGCCGCCTGCCCGCCCGCAGCAATATGCCCCGTAGCGCCCCGTGCCTCCCGTCGGCGGCACGTGGACGGGTAGACGGCGCCCAGAGGGTATCGGTGGCGTCTGGGACGGCGGTGGCGAAATATGACCCGAGCGATCCGCCCCCGGCGGCTCGGAGGGGGTGTGAGGTGCTGGAGCGATAGGGAAGGGGAGAGAGGGAGGGAAGGAGGGAGATTGGTAGCCAGGCTGACAGAAGCGCTGAGCTGGAACTGCTTCGTTTATTTATCACGGAGCTGCTTATGAAACTGGTTGATCATGGAAAGTGAAGACGGATTTATGGGTTCTCAGACGGATGATTTTTCTCTGGGAACTTGGAGAGCGTTTTGCTCAAAGTTCGTTCACGGCTCATCTGCCAATTAGAACGTCACAAGTCAATTAGAAATGTCCCGTGGAAACATCACTGATGAATGTTTTAGATATTCCGAAACCAGCAAATAAATTAAGGATTTTAACGTTTACCGGACAGCTTCATCGAGTATGCCCACCTTGTTCCTCGTGTGTGCACTTCTACGGCTTGAATAAAGCATGTCCTCCCCTAACTCTCATATCACGCTCCAGCTTCACCTGCGCTCCAAGCTCTGACCCCGCTGACCTCTGTGTGCGCTGACAGGATGACCAAAGGTCAGGTGGCCACCGTGACCCGCCACCTGCCGCCCTCCGGACCGTTCGCCGCCTACAGAGACCTGAAGCGACACTGGAAAAACATGGTGAGTGGGGCATGTGCCGAGTCTCGACTGTCCATGTTTATATTCCAGCGACTGTCGAGACCGTAAGACGAGGTCGAATGGTACATACGAGTGTTAGCCAGTTTTGAGTAGTTTTGAGGAATCCAGAGCCATCTGTTCAGTTTGTTTTATTAACGAATGCTCATGAATTGTGCCGAGTTTATTTATTCTAGACAATTTACAGTTGCATAACCATTTTGGTTTAAGCAGCTTAAGTCGATATTGCCAGAGTTAGAACTTGTACTTAACTATTTAGCAAACGTTGTTGCCTGCTGATCAGTTATGGCATATAATTCGTGTTAAGTCCCGGCTATGTTGATCATTTTCTGTCTGTGTAAGAAGCCTCGTCAGCCCGTTCCGGAACTGTTTTCTGGCCCCTTCAGTACGGCTACCGTCTGCCGGAGGAGGAGCCCGCTCACTACGTCAACGTTAACTTCCGGCTCGTGGGACCGCAACTGTTCACATACCCGCCACTCTGTCTGCGAAACGGTAAGGAGGGGTGGGGTGGGGGGGGGGGAGATAACGCAAGTACTTACAGCACGGCACGGCGAGTCTGTCTGCGAAACGGTGAGGGCTGGCACGGTACTGTGCTGTCTGCATGGAATACCACAGGATAACACGGGAGAGTCTATGGTAAACGGTGAACATAGCTCGCGTGTTTGTCTGACAACCGGTGCAGCTGTGGGTCTGCGGAATGCCATACTACCAGGGTACCGTGGGAGATGCCGCGGTAAACGATGCATATAACTCGCATGTCTGTCTGAGAGACGGTGATAGGATGTGCAGAGCATTGTGATTTTAGATAGGTTGTGCTGGCTGCGAAAAGGTGAGGGAATCAATAAACTGACGACACAAAAGGTAAGTTGATGTGTGTCCTTCAGTCCAAACAATGGAAGATGCCGTGCTCTGCAGTAACCTTTTGTCATTTTCTGCCTGCAACCCAGTGAAATAAACTCGCGATATAGCTCTGCACAGCTCAGCTCGGCGGTCTGCATTTGACAGACATCAATCCACAGCTTGGTAGTCTTGGAAATGAAATGTGTGATTCGTGTGAGCGAACCTGTGTCCCGATCTGTGATCGCAAAAAGACAAGAACAAGAGACCTGTGAATTGCCCCACATCATCTGAGCTCCAGCTGGGCCTATTGCCGGTCCTTCCCAGCTGCTCTCGCCCTGTGACCCCTCCCCTCTCTGAGGCTCTTAGTGTTCCTGTCCCGACCCGCACCTCGTCCCATCCTGACCGCCCTGTGACCCCTCTCTCCCAGGTTCTCCAGTGTTCCTGGCCCGGCCGGCTCCGCGTCCCATCCTGACCGCCCTGCTGAGGGACCTGCACGTCAAGGTCGGATCGGTTTGCGGCCAGCCGCTGTCCTTCTCCGGCACTCCGTCCTACCTGACTGTGCAGCTGCAGCCGGCACCCACGGTACATACGCTATAGAGAAGGGGAGGGGATACAGGACTCGAAAGTCTGCCAGTGCCCCTCTATCCTCCGAATCGTGTGCCGTCCACGACTGCAATAACTACTCTTGTAGTAAAATGTGCATCAACAATCTTTATTGGAGGGAATTCTTAATAATCTTAATAATTATTCACTCGGAGACTTACACAACCTGATAACCCAACTCGGGCGTGCACCTCAAACCCCCTGACAGCTCCATGTCGTTTCCCACCTACCCCTCCCAATCTGCCACTCCTTACCACCTGTGCAGACCGTGCTGTTTGATCTTCCCTACACCGATCAATGCGCTCACTCACTCTGCTCCACCTCCTGTGAAATGGCAGGCTGGGCTGTCGTAGTGTGACCGTGTATACGAGTGCAACTGTGCTCAACGTTCGGCTTTGTACCGATGTGAATGGTCGACGGAATGTGGTGATGGGTCGTTATATGGTATGAATGCGATATGGCGACGCCGAAATGGTGCCGTCTAGGCAGCAAGACCGTTGACAGATTCGATTCAGACATGCATGCACGGCAGGAATTCTAATGCATCTGTATTCCAGTTGGTCGTTACGGTACCTATGAAAAATCACATTGATGGACGTTGTTTTGTGCACTTATTTCTCAAAAAGTAAAAACAAATATAAATATAACTTCCATACCAACAAGCAACGCATCAGTTCGTTACGCAGCAATGTACTCTCATCCTGGAAATATATCGGGTGCTGCTTATCATTTACCACATACCTATATTGCACAGTCACCACTCACCAGTGCCACTCAGCTGCACATTTAGCGTTTCCCGCCTGTTCCCTCACCCCCATCCGACCCGGCTGACCGGCCCTGTGCCCACAGTTCCAGCCGGACTGTCGACCCAACGTGTCCAGCGAGCCGTCCGGCCGCCAGCCGCCGCCGGCCGTCAGACGGGTCGGCCAGGTGACCGAGACGGGGCCGGTGGACGGTGGCAGGCCCGGGACGGCGGCGCAGGCGAGGCTGGTGGACGGCGGGAGACCCGGGACGGTGGCACAGCCACAGGCGAGAGTCGGTGGTTTGGCAACGTCCACACCGCAGCAGCAGCAGCAACATAGACAGCAGAAACAACCACAACAGCCAAAGCAGCAGCAGCCGAGACAGCAGCAGCAGCCCCCAGAGCAGCACCAACAGCAGCAGACCCCGAAACAGCAGCAGCCAAGACAGCAGCAACAGCCGAGACCGCAGCAGCCACAGCAGCAGCCTAGGCCAAAGCAGCAGCAGTTAAAGCAGCCGCGTCCCAGCCTAGCTCCACCTCTCCCCGCCAGTCCTGCCAGCCGTCATCCGCCGCCTCCGTCACCTGCTGTGAAGGCCCCAGGCCCAGCCGCTGCGACCAAGACCCCCGTTCCGGCCGCAGCGAAGCGCGGGGGTGCCCAGCCGCCCTCCCCTCGGGTGGCCACTGCCCCCTCTGGCGCTCCTCTGCCCCGTGCCCAGCCGGTCAGCCGTCCTCCGACCTCAGCCTGCCTCGGGAGCTCTGCGGCGGCCCGGCCGGCGGCGGGTCCTACCTCTACTCCGACTGGAGTCGGAGGTCGTCCCGGACTCCTGCCGTGCTCTCCCAGACCAGGCCAGCTCGCCTCCCCAGGCTTCATCGTCTCCCACACAGGAGACGGTGGCCGCGCGCTGGGGATGCCCTCCTCGCCCCACCCGGCCAGGATCGTACCGCTGTTCAAACCGCGCCCGGTCGCAGGTGCTCGGGTATCACTTCAGGGGAAGGCCTCAGGAGCGGCGCGGCAGACGGGAGCGTCAAAGACGACCCCGGCGCGGCCCACACCGCGCGCCGCGGCGGGGACAGCAGGGACAGGCCGGGGGAAGAAGCAGCGCCCGGCGGGGAAGGCGGCCGCGGACGGCCGGGGCCGAACTCCAGCCGCCGGACGGACGGCCGGACCGCCGGCGACTCCGGCGGCGGCCAAACGGCGCCGGCAGTGAAGCGACGGGACTGGAAGACAGGGGACGGTAGAACACTAGGTGAGTAGACGGACGGCCGTCTTGTTTTTCATTCTTGCTTTTGTTACCGACCAGTGCTCCATAATTTTCATTCGTGTAAACGTTAAAAAGCTGTATTCCGAAATTTATAGGCTGGGATGTGGGTTATAAATTTGTGCATTAGCAGTAAACGCAAAAGCTATTCTCTCAATCTTTGTGTGATGAATGTTTACGGCGGATTTCCAACATATTGCTGCGACTTGACGACACAGTGCATTATTGATCAGCAATATTGCTCTCGTTACCAATAACTCATTACCACCTGCTTGAAGTGGACCATTTGCCTTCTTCAGCGCACATAAACTACGCGCCTTACGACTGTGAGTCAGGTATCGCTGATTTGTTCCTCACAATCCTGCAGTGGAGAGCCAATTTGCCTGTTTGGCCAATACGAGTGGCGTGCAGCTTCGTCGCTCGATACGCGGCGAGTTGTTGGAAAACAGCTCTACCAGGCACAGGGTTGTGTGTGACAGGTCCGGGCGGCGCGGGCGGTGGCAGTTCTCAGGGTCGTTATTGGGAGGGGTTGGTGGCACGCACCTTTGCGGTTTTAGATGACTCTAAAAAAAAACAGCTTGGGCTGCAGGCTGGATGATATTAGAAATGACGTGAACAGTTATTCTGACTGATGGTAAATGAGCATAGGGCTGCTAAATGTTTGTAGATAAAGTTAGAAAGCTGTGTCAGCTTTGAAGAGACACGTGTCAAAGATATTAGCATGCCAGCAAAGTCATACCAGTAGCTACTTCTGAACCCGTTAAATTACATATCCCGCAATCCATCTTAATCAGTTTGCCGGCTTATTAAACTGTCGTAACTTTGGTTCGCATAATATCAAACGATGGCTCGAGTCTCGTCATATCAGCTGATTGAAATGCACCACAAAGCTCGTCCAATGTGCTTGATCTTAAAATGACATTTAACTTATTGCACCTCTCATAAGGTCAGACCGTAATTGTGATGAAAGAGACCCCCGTGACACATCGGCATTAGGGTGCATCAAACGCCCCACTTTTTCGAAAAATTTCTACGAACCCCCTGTCACCAAAATTAATTTGTTACGGATCCTAAATGTATCAACCATGCCAAATTTCAAGAATTTCTGAAGCCATCTAGGGGGTCCGCATTGACCCTAAAGTTAACGAAATTTCATGAATTTGACCATTAATGGCGCTTAATTACAAATTATTTAAAATTATTCTTAGGTCAAAATATCTTTTAGAATCGCTAATCATTGCAAGTGCTATCCTAAAACTGCCCACCAAATCAATCTGAAATGTATCTGATTTCATCTATAGGAGTCTTGACACTCGCCCGTATTGGTGTTTTGTGTGCGTCTAACGTACAGGAGCTGGACCCTCTTGCTGTTCGGTCTCTGATTAAGCCAGAGCTTCACGGAAAAACTAGCGTGTTTCCCGTAACGAGAAGAAGCAGATGATATCAATTTCTACGGTCCTAGGTCATTAGTTGACCTTCCAGGTCAGGTCAATGACCCAAAAGTCGGGAAAATCGGGACCTGGTAGAACTTCGTGAATTGAGTTTGTTGTAGTTTTTCGGGGTGCTGATTGCGATTTTCAGGTCAGCTTTGATCAAAGATGATGTCTCTATGCATTTAGGCTTGGTCGGGTCAGGTCAGGTCAGGTCAACCAGTGGGAGTCCTGCCAGCTATCCATAGTAGGTGTAAATCACCACCGACAGCTTCGAAATATTACGAAGGCTTCGAATAAATATTACGAAATATTACGATTAATATGTTACGAAGGCAACAAAACTACTTCGTAAGTGTTCAATGCTCAAACGTTTCAATGTAGTCACGCTTACGAGATGAGTAGACATTAGACAATGCTCCTATCATCAGACGCTACTGCAGTGTCAGTGCGTCTGCTTTTTGAAAGGCCTACGCTCTCTCTCGTCTTTCTGGGCCATGTATCTGGTGCAAGAACTATATAGCGCGGTGCAACAACTACATATATAGCGCCGACCATTCAGCGTTGCATCCACTCGTCGACGCACGGGGAAGGGTCTTTCACAAGGAGATGAAACTCCAGAAAGTAGCAACTGGCATGTCTCAGATATTCCATTCCGGTCACCTGAGGTTCCGGAGGTTTCGTTCACGTGATCGTGACCTATTGTTTTGGGTCAATGGGGTAAATATGAAAACCGAGTCAGAATGATCATCGCCAGTCACACCCCGGCAAGACCGCGCCCAAACCTCGGCAACATTCAATAGAGCAAGTGGCGGCAACAAAACGAAGATATCAAGTTCGGACGTCGCTACTGAAACCGCAAGGTCGTTGACAACGTCGGATACACCTGTCTGCGAGGGATGACAGTCCAGACTTGGGATGCCCCACAGGGACTTGGTCCATCATGAGGTCGCCGAACAATTACCGACGGGAAGAGCGGCTTACTCTTGTTGTCGTCGAAGACGTGCTATCAAATTACATGAGAATTATTCACGGATTGCTAAAAAGATACTCACGAGTCACTCTAAACCAATAATAGCGGTGTTAACATTTACCTCAACATGAGTTCGTCTCAAACCGGTTTTGTCAGGGCTGCATGCGTGACAAAGTAACTTCATTTGGTTTTGACGCTGCCATGGTCGACTATGAATTCCAGGCTTCATATCGGCGAGCTCATCATCGTGTGCGTCTTCTGCGAGCCCAGAGTCGAAGTATCGAAGTCATGTCGTTGAATCACAAAACCATAAAATAAGCAAGAACCGCTCTAACCCAAGAAAACCCAAGCTAATCATTGGAACTTAACGAAGCGATTTGTTCCAGACTTCCCTCCCAGCAAAAGCCCTACTTCCTATATATAGGTAATGCGTATCAGTTGGCTAAGCTGAAACTATCTATAGTTATTATTTTCGTGCTTAATTTGGGCTTATTGAGGAAAAATCGCGATGATCTCAAATACTCTTAGTGATGTCAAAGGACGTCATATAGGGCACAAGTTGAATACAGACCAGGCATCAGTCCACGAAAACGGGGCACAAAAATAAATTTCAATTCCTGAAACATATTTGGATTATATTTGGCGCTAACTGAGCACTGCTCAGTTAGCGCCAAAACAGATACAGAAAAAAACAATGCAGAAACTGCTCAGTGAGCAGTTTCTGTATCACTACCTATGGGGCATAATGGAGGTGTCACGTGACTGACCTGACCTCAGGCGACCTTTACGGAAAAGAAAATCAGAGGAAAAAAGCTGTAAAAATTTGAAAGCTTGTGATTTCCTAAGTTTCGTCTCCCTGCGAAAGATGCCCCGACTCTGAGAGCGCTGCGAATCTATACAGCATTTTTAGACCATCGAGAGGTTCGCATATGACGTCATAGGCCACTGACCTGACCTGATATCAAAATGCAGCAAATGCCAAATGTTCAGGCTTAAGCATCAAAGGTCAGCTAAGCCAAATTAAAGTTCCCTAACCGGACGTGTTTCGACCGATCGCGACAAAAACAGCAGTGGTCGCACCAACCCCCTCCATCGGGGAAGGTTAAGTGATGAAGCATGTTCATAGCTGATGCGGACCCCCTAGATGGCATCCGATATAATTTTAATTTTGCACAGCGTCATTGTGCTACTAGTGGAACAAATTGAATCAACAGACAGATCGATTTGAAGACATCGGGGCGTTTGATGCACCCTAATCGGCATCCATCTCAATATTGCGCGGACCTAGTCGCTTGCGCTTGATATGACAACTAATGTTAGGTTGCACTGTAAGCGGGCTGCGTTCAAAGTGTGGGGCGGTGGAAGGTGGGCGATGGGCGATAGGCGGTGGGAGGCGGGTGATATGTGGTACGCACTCGCAGGAGCGAAATGGGGAATAGGATGTGTGGGTGATATGTGGTAAACGGGTGGGCGATAGAGGGTAGGTGACGAGCGATATTGGTAATAGAAGGCAGACGATAGACGGTATATGCGAGGGCGTTAGGCGGTAGATGACGAGCGATAAACGTTAGATGACGAGCGATGTAGACGGTAGGTGACAGGCTATGGGAGTTAGAAGGTGCGGGATATGTAGACGGTAGGTGACGGGCGATGTCAGTGGACGGGCAACAGTATACGGCTTTAAACGCGCTGAGCGGTATGAAGTGGGCAGCCACCCCTGATCGACGGGCACCTCACGGTCCGAAGACCCATTTCGCAGCCGCTCCGTCCGTCGCAGGGGTCGTCGTCGGTGACATACCGACCGGCCCTGTCGCCACCTCCCAATTACTAGTCGGGGCCGGCGGTCGATCGGTTCATTTATATGCAGCCGTCCTCCGCGGCTGACGCTGAAGGAAGATGGAGGCGCTGATAGGTGTCCGGTGAACGTAATTATACGTTGGATGCTTATTTCATTCTTCCAGAGTGGTGCTTTTAGAAATGAGTACAAACGACTCATCAAGAATTGGACGAAAGTGTAATGTACAGAAGACTTGCGTGCAAAAACAAGTAACAACCGAAATGACCAGGTGCTTCCGACTTGACTGCTATTCTCTTTTCCAACAGCGGAGTGAGCGTATTATTTGCGCTGAACAATCGTCGCTGCTGATTTTTGTATCGCCACCACATCTCCCTTCTACCCTCGGATGTTTATCAAGTCATGCCTGTGCCGCGGGGCGCCGTCAGATGACACCCTCTGAGGTGACAACGGGAGCTGACACCAGCCGAGGTGACACTCGGTGACACGTGTCAGCAGCGCGGTGACAGGGGGACCGCACCTCGCCTGTCCAGCGGCCGGTGGGTCGTGTCATCGAGGCAGACCTCCCGCGACGGCGACCCCGAGATCGGGTCCGATCTAACTTACTTCGCTAAAAGAGCCATGCGCTGTGCCCATGGGTGAGATGTGTTCGCTGTTGCCATGGACGGAATTTGTGGTGCTGATGCGATGTTCTCGCGTCGTTAGCCTCAAATATGTGGGAGAATGGTCTCTACTGGTTTGTGATATTGACTGTCTTGCATGATTATGAGAGTATTTAACTAGTAAACGAGGGCATTTATTTCCGCTTGCGCAATTTTTTCAATCCTTGGACTATTATGTTCATTGTTTTAATGAGAATCTTAAGATGGACTCCATGCTCAACCACATTAGAGGAAGCATTAAGTGTCGGAATGTGACACTAATTCACACTAACTTATGTATGCGGCAGCCTCACTTTCCAGAAATATCCAATGGTAAAATACCAGCGCCCCTTTACCGTTCTCGTGGCGCCCTGCTCAGTGTTCCATCACCGGATGAAAACTGAAATCCCAGGAGCGACCCGGCCGCCGGGTCGGCGCTACGAATGGCTGAGTCCCCGGGGGTGACAGCTGGACCCGTCCCGGCAGCCGGGGTAATGGGCCGGAACATGAAGCCCCGCGAAAAGAACGGCCCGGGATCCATATCGGGTCGAGACCCGCGCGACAGTCGTGGATGCTAGAACTGAGATACTCCTGGGGAATGAAGTTAGAATCATAATGTGAGCGAGATTCTTGTTTATTTTATTTTCAAAATCACCAACGAGATGGACGCCCAATAACAGCTGATACTGACATATAAAACGATTTTCTGAGAAATCTGAAGCCCGAAACAGAAAATGGCTATGATGCAGATCGTCATTTTGCTGTTTTATGTAAGCGGTTGGCTATGCTTTATATCGGTGGACGACGAACTGTAGTCACGCTTTGATGGTTAGGAAGCAGACGTTTCCGTCCAAAGTCTGAACTCGCTGTCGTCGCGGTGATTGATCTATCGGAATTTCAGCTGCGGCTCAGCCGGCCGCGGTGAAAAGTTTCAGATGGAGCCCAGTGCCCGTCTCACGTCTGCTGGCCGCAGGTTAGGACGCTGAGTGATGACTGTTTATTGTGTAGCAGTTTTGTCACAGTTGACGACATGGTCCGGTGGAGTTGATGTTTATTACTAAGGAGAACTGTCCCGACAGAAATTATGCCGGACCCGCCGCATCGCTCAATGGGCTATCATCTGGAAGGTTCATCTTGACAAAAGCAGGTCATGTGACTCATGTGAGCCTGCCAGAGTTTGGGCATTGCGATGTTTGAAGGTAAAGCGGATGTAGCATGCAAAATCAAATCAAATCATTGCCGTTTTATCGCATTGACATGGACTTTGAAGATGCATCGCGTTTTTCTCATAACTGTGTAAACCATCGCTGGAGCCCTCGAGATCCAATATCAATTTTTTCTTTGAATTGTGGGTCTCGTACGTTACACTCAGTTCCCACATCATACCATTCATGTTCCCTTTAACCACACCTGGTGGCACCTCTGTTGTCCCCACACTGCTCGTCTCGGACGTCTGTCTGACGGAAGCTTCTCCTTACTCACGAACAGTGGCGTGACGAGGTTCCACCCGAGTGATCTGGCCCGTTCCCATCAATTGCGACCCAGTTGGGACTCTCGTTGCTCTACCCCTCCCCACTCCATTCCTAACACAATCTCTCTCACTGACATACGTCGTGCCAGGAGATTATGGGGCCGTGCTATCTGCCCAGTGATTATTCTGCAGCTTTCAGTTGGTGAGGGAACTCCCTATAGTGAGGGAATTTCCTGTATCATTGAGCGACTGAGTTGGTGAGCCTTTGCTGCTATAATGAGTCGTTTATCTCACCCCAAGCGGCTATTTATGAAACCATCTCGGGTGAGATGGTCGACATAAAAACTCAGAATGTGGTAATTGGCTGGTGATATAACCTGTTATGAAGTGAATGGCGGCTGATGTGCCAATAATATCATACCTCGGCATTAGCAGGTGGTCGCTGTTGGGTTGTGGCTAAACGAGTTCTCATTTTGTAAGTCATATTTAGCGTTTATGATATGACCACTATGAATGGAATTTGTTGGATGTCTTTGTTGATCGAGCCACATGTTTCAAATTATCGAGTGGAAACAGGTGTGACTGGTCCACTTAACTTTGCACTACCTTGGTGTCGCGACATTTCACCTTCCAGTGACACCTCCTGCCCGAGGAAAATCCAGCCGAGCTCGCTATCGATAGCGCTGCGGAGATCCTCTGGGATCTGAAGCCGACTCTCTGGAAATGTCGGTGGATTTGGAGATGCTTAGGTCGTGCTGACTGCTCACTGTTCCCTGTCGATGACTTTAAAAAAGTCGGTAACGCCCTGCAGAGACATGGACTTTCTTCTTATGACCGGACGCAAGATTCCGGCGTATAGTGTCTCACATTACGCATGACACCCACTGTAGCACAACGTGCTGAGATTACAGCCTCTGAACCCTGTCTGTAGACATGTTCTGCGTATAGCGTATTGAGACTGGCCCTTTGGGCGGTTTGGATGAACTCAGGACTGACCGATGCCGTTTGCGTCCCTCAGGTTATCGGCGGCAGACAGGACGTTCCTTCAGCGTGTCACCGCGGCACAAATACACCAGAATTACTTCAGTTGACCGTGTTCATCAGCGCAGCATCGCCTTCTTCTTGCCCAGTAAGGTGCAGCTCATCAGTCAGGTACCGTCAGGGGTGATGTGACGGGACCGGCCGCGCCGCCCCCTCCCCCCGGGTACGTATGAGGTACCGCAGTACGGTACCCCAGGGAACTGAGTACCCACGGCCGCATGGCGACCGGTGCGGATAGTCGGAGATTGGTGCTTGGACGAGAGAGGCGGGAAAGTGATTGCCAATTGTGTTGAGAGCTTGGGAGGGCGGGCGTCAATCTGAAGTCTCCCGTTTCGGTTGAGTTTTACGTGCGAAAACGCTTTAGTTATTTAAAACTTGTGAAGTCGGGCTGGCCAGCCAGTGATCTAATTTGAAAACGTCGGGAATCGGCTGACAGTTTGCTTTGGCGTTACCGACCAAGACGAAGGAAATGTTACGAATCTGTCGTTTGTGCTCATCAGTACCAACTGCGAAGCTAATTGGAAGTGATATGTCTACTTCTAGAGCCTGTCTAGAACCCTTAACTCAATCAAGTGTAATTACCAGTGTAATTCAAGACATTAGCAGTGTATTGTGTGTTGAATATAGGCACTTTTTCATCTCAGTGTAGTAGGAACGCTCAGTTTTTCATTGTCATCATGTACTTTCAATCGTTTTAACGCTGAATTTCAATACAGGACCTCGTTTACCAACGCAGTGACGTCTGTGTTTAATCTGCCGAGTCCTCAGATCCCCTCCCTTCGTAGACATACGGCCGTGCGAAATGCGAATCTGTTCCAATGGGTGGCAAAATGTGGACCCGAGGAACCGACCCAACTGGAAGTTTTTTATGAAGGGTTCAACCAGGTCCTACCATAGAACATTACACTTATAAAACCTTATAGGAAATATGAAGTGAATGAAAAAAGCTCATGTTACGTTTTTGCACACTCAGCTCACAAGCATTCTCAGTTGGAAGAAGACTTTTACTTGATGCACGTGATGCTACACGTAGTCTATATTCATTTTCTTTTGGGGAACGCACGTGTCTAACTGGGTTCCGATTGAGATTCTTACCTAGACTGGGTCTGGCTGGTTCTAGAAATGTCCAGTCTGTTCCGAGCCCGATTCCAAAAACTCGCACCTTTTGCCTCCCCTCTAGTTCCAACATCCGCCACTAACTGAGGCACGCCGGCCTTTCCGCCTCGCTGCAGGATCCGGCTGCGTCGTGACGCTCGCCAGACACAGGCTGCGGCGATGAGCTGTCAGTGCTCACGTAAACATGCCTATGATCAGTCGCGTAGGTGAGTGGGACTGGGTGCAGACTGCAAACCCTCGGGGGCAGCTATTCTCAGCAATGGGATTCCCCGACGCCTGGAAATGGAAACAGACTCCCGGAATAATTTAATTGCAAAATTTCCCAGTCGCATGCGATATGCCCGTTATATAACAACTCCGGTTTGTAAAACGAGCATCTGTTTGACCTAAAGAACCGTCAGCGTGTGGTGTCTGGAACGACAGAAGCTTTTCGAAATGAAGCGATAGTAATCGAGTTTGGCACTGGGTCGGAGCCACGTGCCGCTGTAGGTACGATCCTCAAACGAGCCCCGGGCTTTGGCGGCGCTCACGTCAGTACCTACCCGACGCCCCGGCGCTGCTGCGGTGGGTGGGTGGTCGGCCGGGGAACACGAGCCGCGGCTGTCAGGGATTGAGGAGCCAGCCTGAGCCGCGGAAAGCACCGGAAATGTCACAGGGTGAGGATGGGATGGGTGTTTTACTGGGCCCCGTCATCCACCGCTGGTGAAGTCTGGTGATGGTACTGCTGAGGCATGTGGCTGCGTCTGCTGAACGCCTTTGTGAATGTGATGTGAACTGTGAATTGTATTCTGGAGAAACGCCAGTGAGTTGTTTGCTGAGAAACGGGGAAGACCGGTAAACTCAGAGCTATATTCGGGGAGTAAGAGGAGAGAGGATCCATGTGGTCAACACTTCCGTCGCAATCCCACAATACTCTGCTGATTTTTGGCAATGACAGACCTTCTCTTAGTGTTGTGCAGCTCTTAGTGCTTATAGTGGCCACCGCTGAACTCAGAGGTAACTTTTTTGTAGCGATGAAGCTGTTTGGGGTAATGACACTATTGGAATCAGTAATAAAAATTATCCAAATGGATAATTTTATTTTTACATACATAAGAAGCAAACATCAGCTGTAGTATCAGCGTGCATGATTAAATAATGCCTTAATGCGGTAAGTCCTAATGTTTTTTTGCAGTCAGTTTTTAGTTTCACTATAGGAAGGTATTAAATTTAACGTCACTTTTCAAAAAGCCCCTGAAGTGATCAATTGTACGATGAGCACGTGAAATCGAGTCTGCTCGGACCGATAAGGAAATTTACGGCCCACACGCCGTACTCCTTTGGAGCTGGCCGAGAGCTCCCATTGCACTCTGCACCGACGCGATATCATGCTCGGTCCACAGACCAAACGGTGACTCTCTGGCGAATTGTCTGACCCAGACCCCTAGACACCCTGAACCTTGTCCAGGGATCACCCTTGAGTCCTGGAATTTGTCTTGGGGACACCCTTGGGTCCATTAGGATCCCTCTAGTCTCTCTCGGATACCACTTGGGGTCCGTTCTAAACACTTGGCCGGGGATAATCTAGGACACGCGTCGTCTCTGTCGAGACACCCCTGGGCTCTGTCTGAGACGCACCTGGGTCAGACTCGGGGCCCGTCTATGTATATAGAACACCCCCGAGGTTTTGTCAGGGACACCCCTGTGCCCCGCCGTCTCCTGTTAGGTAGGCTGCGCCGCAGTGCCGCCTGCCGATCCCTGATTGGTGGGCGGCCCTCCTATCAGCCGGTGACTATCAGTGACGTCACAACCAAACGGGAATCTGTCAACAGCGGCGGAATCTGTCAACACTGGGCCCTCATCAGCCAACCGGCGGTGGGCTTTCTGGTGACCGCTGCCACGCGGGGTGTGTGGCGTTCATGTGGAGCACGCGAGGGTATAGAGTGGACAGAAGAGGTTGAAGAGAGCACGTGGACATCGGAGGGTGGATAGTGGATAGGTGGCAAGGTGGAGGGTGGACCGATACAGATAGATAGTTGACAGGCGTTGTCACTCCCGACAGCTCAGTCGCTAACAGTTTAGAAGAGTGAATTGATGACAAACCTGGCGAAGAGGTGGCATTCTAGAATAGACGTCGCAAGAAGAAAGTGAAACTTAAGCGATTTTATTAAATTTGTTGATTGTGCTACTTCGCGATACCCTTGAAGCGAGCAAATTCAGCTGCTTTCTGTAACAGACTCTGGACCTTTTGTGCCCGACGAAAGGTGTTCGTTCATCGACGCGAGCAGCACCCTCGGTCGGACGCAGATCTGCTGACCGGCCGGTCAGCCGACGAACCGACGACCGTCGGCTGGTCGGACGGAACGTCCCGACAGTCTGAGGTGCGCTCCGCCGAGGAGCACGCGCGTGCCGCGTCACCTGGCGCTATCGTCGGACTGAGCTGGCAGTCAGTCTGAGGTGTGCTCTGCGACGAGGGACGTGCCGTGTCACCTGTCCCTATATCAATATCCGTTGGTTGGGCAGACGGAGTCGGCAGTCAGTCTGAGGTGTGCGCTAAAGGTGGGACGCGTATCACCTGGCCCGACTGTGTGACAGTCAGCGTTTCCTCCAGTGGCAGTTTTACTGTCTACGACTTCAGATCTGTGTCCGTGAGTTGCGTGAGTGATACAGAACAAGTGGAAAGAAACGCTACCCAGTGAAGACAGACAAATAGACAGACGGACAGCATTGGAGAAAAACGGCAATCCGTGGAGACAGACAGGCAGACAAACAAACACCCAGGCGGACAGGCAGACAGGCGCGTTTACCCCGCTGCTGCTCTGTGAGCAGCGGCAGCGGCGGGTCCCCAATGGGAAACAACACCAGCGGCAGCGGCTCCAGCTCGCTGTACGGCAACGGCTCCATCGGCGACATCAGCCACCGCTACCCGACGCCGTTCGTCATCGCACTGAGCATCATCATCGTCGTATTCATGATCGTGAGCGTCACCGGCAACATCCTGGTAATTCTGAGCGTGTGCCGGTTCCGCTCGATGCGGACGCGGACGAACCTGTTCCTGGTGAACCTGGCAGTGACGGACGTGCTGGCGGCGCTGGTCAACATGCCCGTAGCGCTGGTGACGCTCACACAGGGCCGCTGGGTGTTCGGAGAGGTGCTCTGTCAGCTGAACGGGTTCACGTTCGGACTGGGCACCATGGCTTCCATCCATACCATGATGCACATCAGGTGAGTGACTTGCTGCACTTATACCATGACGGCGGCACGGGGGCGGGAACGGGGGATAGTGAACTGAATGTTGTAACTCAAAATAATGTGGCTCGATGATCCTTGGGGCTGACGATTGGCGTATTCTAAAGTTGAAACGTGCGAATCATACAAAAAGCGACGCGTTATATTTTTTGCTTGCGTATGTTATGATGCATGCAGGTATTTGGTAACTATAGCTACACGCCGATCACCCATCGTTTAAAGTACCAACCTTCAATGAAATAAGCTGCCCTCCGGCATTGTGAACTCGAACGGATTTTCAATGCATAACTAGATACAGACTCATCACTCTCCGTGACAAGATTACCCTTTCAAGATAAGTCTCTAGTCTCTTCTAGATTAGGTACTCTTTCCTCATCCCTATCAGCGTTACTCAGTCTCATCTCCCCACCTTCACCCTCCGTTCCTTCCATCTCATCAGCTCTGTGAGCGAATTCCAATCCCAGTGAGTCTCGTAATGGCCTGTTTACACCGCGAAGTGCGCGCGTGGAGGGCACGGCTTGGCTCCCGGGGTGGCACTGGATGACTGTTTATAAACGGCCGCGCTCGCCCGCGACGGTAGGAGCGTCAGTTGGCGATGCGTCTGCCTCGGGTCGTTCGCACGATAAACCAGACAAATGTAGCTGCCGGCTGGCTGGCTGGTGGGTCTGGTGGGTCTTGAAGGTCTGGTGGGTCTGGTGAGGAATGCTCCGGCGTCGAGGGGTTGATTGGATGGGCGATGGGGTGGATATGAAGCTATAAGACGATCAGTAAGACTGATGGCAAGCAGTGGGCTCTGACTTCTGAGACCATGGTATGGATGTTCAAAGCCAACAGACATTCGTGAACTTCAAGTCCGTATTTAAACTAAAGTGGGGCGACCCTTGGATCAGTCGGCACACATTCAAAGTGAAGTAATTAGACATGACCTACCGGCATACTCATTACGCTGCTTTTGTAGTCAGTTTTCTCCTTTAACCATAGCAACATTTTACGATACGACGCTGAAATATGATCAGACACTTCCTTCATAGTGAAACGTTCAGGTTCAGCTATCGGCAGTTGGAGATGGGAGAGTCTTCCTATGACGTCTCTCTGATATCCACGAATTATGACCATATTCACGATAGCTTTATCGCACGTAGATAACACATCTTCACGGACTTCACCGGCCAAAGCTACTAAATAGGCAGATGATAGGACGAGCGCCGTTGTCTGGTAGGCACTGGTGAGCAGCGATAGGCATTCGACGTCCTGTGATGTCATCTGACATCACACGGCTGTTTCTCGATAAATATTGATACCGACCCGGTACGGATGTGATAAATGTATGCCGAGCTCTTATACAAGCGTTCCGGAGCGGTATTTTCTTGTTTCCACCGTTGTGGGGGACTTGCCTTGGTGTTGGCCGTCCCTTGGTAACATCCCTAATTGACTGGACTATTACACGAACCACGTGGTGGAAAAGACGGCCCAGTATTCAATTGTCTGAACTCGAACGTCTGAAAATAGCGAATTATAAGACGCTTCCTTATTTCTTTGTTTCGACGAGAAGACCTACGTTTTTTTAATACAATTATTTGTCTCCTCTCTCTCTCTCTCTCTCTCTCTCTCTCTCTCTCTCTCTCTCTCTCTCTCTCTCTCTCTCTCTCTCTCTCTCTCTCTCTCTCTCTCTCTCTCTCTCTCTCTCTCTCTCTCTCTCTCTCTCTCTCTCTCTCTCTCTCTCTCTCTCTCTCTCTCTCTCATCTTTTCCCGTTAGTTAGCCACAGGACACTGCTCGACAAAATCACGTTGTGCATATGTACCGTGTCCCTGTATACATATGCTCCTATCAAGTGGAACAAGCAGACCTTCCCAGGCCATGAGCTGGCTTTAGAATGGACTCCCACCCCATGACCGTGAGGATATGGTGCCTTTTAATTGGGTCCCAGGGGGGCTGAGGCCCACCGCAGTTCCACAGAGACGTGAGAGACCGTTTGGCAGTGGACTCACGGACCAAACAGCGGACTCGATTCGCTAGCAGTGCTGGAGCGAATGGGTTACGGAGTCTGATGTTACCCTTTATTTGAAACAGATTCCGCTTACTGAACGAGTGAAACAGTTCAGTGATCGGGGGCGAAGAGGTTGACTTCACTTTTCAAATGCGATGATTAGTCAAGAAAAGTTTACACTACCCTGTTTTGCTACGAGAAAATAGTTACCACGAAATGCTCCCATTTACTGCATTTTATGTCCATAAATAGCTATGTTATGTAACACAACACATGCTTTTATATATGAAGCCTGCATGTGGCCCAGCCGTTCCCTCTCTGCGTTCGTCTCGTGTGCCATGTGCCGTGTGCCGTTGCGACGAGTCGTGGGCGGGCCCGCACCTGACTGACAGACCTGTCGCGTGACCTTCCTCCCCCCCCCTCCCCACCGGCACGAGGCGGCGCGCGGCCGAGGAATGCCTTTGATGCCTTCCTGTGGCCGTAAAGACGCGCCGTAACTCGGAGCTAGCGCCGGCCCGATGGGCGCGTCGCTGAGAGGTCGAGCGAGTTAGCCAGGTGATCGGAACCACGCTGTGGGGTCTGACCTCTGGCGTCAGTTCGGCGGAAACAGACGTCAGTGCGGCGGAAACAGACGTCAGTGCGGCTGATGGACGTCACTGGAACGTCACTCGGCGGATGGAGTGATGTTAGGCGTGTATTCGGCATTTAGAAAATGAGGGATAATTTTCCGGGATCACCGGAATCAATCGGTGTTTTAGGCTGACACCTTGCACAACGGACATAACAACGAGCAATAGAAACATTAGCGAAACAATAGCAATGTAAAACATGACTTATTGCATCGATGGTCCCTCCAATCAGGGATGCGGAGCCGTGGAAATTTCAGACGGCTCCGGCTCCGGCTCCGGCTCCGGAGAAAAAAATCGGCTCCGGCTCCGGCTCCGGCTCCGGGTGAAATGTCATGGCGGCTCCGGCTCCGGCTCCGGCTCCGAGTAAAATGATCCGGCTCCGGCGGCTCCGGCTCCGGCGGCTCCGGCTCCGGCTTCTACTCAGTACATCCCCTATGCGATCAATTAAATACGGGTGGAAGAAAAAAGACGATGGGATTGGTACACGTTGCTTCTGTATTTGTATAACAAGGCTATTTTGAATACCACATTGTTTCACGCCTTCAACTGTCAAACCGAACTAGGTAAATAATTGTTTCCTCTTAAGAAAAGGAGCCGGAGTCGCCCCCTTTTTTGACGGCTCCGGCTCCGGCTCCGGCTCCGGGCTATATTGTTTCACGGCTCCGGCTCCGGCTCCGGCTCCGGGCAAAATATGCCGGCTCCGGCGGCTCCGGCTCCGGCTCCGGCTCCGGCTCCGCATCCCTGCCTCCAATACCAAATAATTATCGGTGATCCCGGAAAATTGTCCCCCATTTTCCATATGCCGAACGCACGCTTCGTATGCTCTGACACCCAGCTGTAGTGACCGGTGGACGGGTCAGATGGTCGGTGCGCGTGTCCCCCCCCCCCCGTCTGCCGCCTGTCGGCCGCGCCGGCAGCCGAACCAATCACATCGCCTGAGGCAATAAACGGTCCGCGCCCACCGACATAATGATATTGGTCCAGCGATAAAGGTCGACACGGTGTCACCGCAGTCGGCGCCCTGTTTGACGGCCGAGCGCGTACAGACAATCGTCAACAGGCGCGACTGTCAACAGGGGACAGGTGCGACTGTCAACAGGGCTTATGCGACTGTCGGCTGTGTACAACCATAGCTGTCAACATTGATTTGTGACAGGACAGGTGTCATTACCTACTGAGCTGTCATACTGTCACTTGTCTACGATGATGTGTTGTGCGCTTGAGCTCTTTAGGACCACCAATGCATTGCCGCAGCCGTGAACACTTGAACAGCTACTGTGCAACAATGATCTAACATCGAAATTTGTTAATCGTGGGCAGCTGTTCATTTGGTCGTTATGCTCTATGAGCTAGTTAATACTATACCGCCGGGTGTCTTTCTACGGCCTACGCTAACGCCTAATAGATGCTGTGCCGCAAAGCACGATATGCTTAAATAGTTGATTATCCTACCGCCAGATGTCTCTCTACGCTAACGCCTGACGGATGCTGTGCCGCAAAGCACGGTACCTCATCACTCAGCCGCTAGATGTCTCTCAGGAAGCGTGAGACCCGATGTTTGACCTCAGACGTTTAATTCGGAGTGTCATAGGCGGCGGAACGAGGGGGGCACCGGGGCACCATAGGTACGCCCCTTTGATTTGGGCATTTTAACATTAGCCCTATGGGCGTTGCATGGAAAGAATGGGATCAAAAGTTGGCACTGCCCCCCCCCCCTTCAATTGAAGGTGTTCTGCCGCCACTGCGAAGTGTTTTACGAGACCCGAGCTTCAGCCGACGACCGAGAGTATCGAAATCCGAAACGAATACCTACGAAGTACGAACCGAAACCACGGAGCATAGACGAACCCACCACTGTAATATGAGTGGGAATTCGCTAAAAAAAAAAAAACACTCGGGTAGGATTAGATCAATTAGAGGACAGAGAAATCAAACATGATTTTTATGCTGACGTAGCCGGCCTCTCTTAGCAAACGATGCGGGACTCGTTAAAATTATACCTATCAAGGCTTTGTCTGATCGCCAAAATAATAGTAGCAATCGTCAATCGATTCCTACCGTCGATGTTTAGCTGCCGTCTCGTGAATCTCATGTGCGAACTTTATCCCCCGCCTCTCCTTTGTCCCTTCAATGAAGAGGCGGAACAAATGGGCCGTTTTAATTTGCGATCGAACGAAGCAATAGGCAGTTTTTTTTGCGTGATCCTTCATTTAAGGGACGAACAAGGCAAAATTGGTAAGGGCTACCTATGTACGCACTGGCAATTCCAGTAAGGCGTGCATCAGTATAGTATATGACCGACCACATTTCCAGTTTATTAGCAATTCATTACCTTTGTCATCTAGGAAAAAACAGTGCC